CAATCAAGTGTACAATAAGAAGTTATGCATTTATACAAAATAGTTCACGTTCTTACACTTTGTATATTAGAAACCTCGGCTAAGTGTTGCTCTGTTACTCCACACTGGATAAAGATAAAGAATCAGCTTAACTTTCAAACTTCTCGCAAACCTTTGAGGTGATGCGAATTAGAGCTCTAGTCGACAGAGCGAAGTCTCCTATATCTCTACTCATCCTGTCCTCCACATGTGAAAATTGTGCGTTGACTAAAACTCCTTTTTTACTCGTCAAATTTTTCATTTACAATTTTTCTGCAGAAAGAAAGAACAGGACAAACTTGTCTTAACAGTGCTGTGACTGGACTCACCTACCCCTCAAAATTACAACTTGGAAATGGTCTAATTTGCTTTCATAGGCTGTAACAAGTCACCTCTTTTGACTTTAGTCTCCCATATGGCCAGTTAAAACCCCTCACAGCTGCTTAAATCCTTTAAAACCAGATAAAACTTTTTATTTCATATCATACCAGAGGTGCACTCTTGTGACAGTGGTGATCTTCTATTTGTCATGTGACGTTGTAAAGTGATCTGTTTATGTAACTGACATTGTAGACGACAGGAACTAAGAGTATCGCAGAGGCTAAAGTAGAAAAATCTCAGAGTCAATTTATGAAAAGTTTATACATTTATTCAGATGAAAAGAGAGAAAAGTGCTGAAAGGATGACTTTAAAAAGTTTCTGACAGTGAAGTGTGTGGAGTTTCTTACTGCCAGGTGGGGGAGACAGAGGGTCTGGGCTGTATCAAATTGCCAGCCTCTATACCTAATTGCCTGATTCCTAAGTTCATTAGGTTGTTGACATGTCAGTCTGCTGTTAAACACCAGAGTTCAGTGGATAAAGTAACATTCCACCTATTTTTATGCCAATAAATAAACACAGAAATTGATATATATAGAATTATTTAACCAAAAATAAGGCTTTTATGAGGGATTGGTTGAAATCAATAAAGTCTGACAAAAGTCTGTCAAAATAAACAAAATTTTTATAAATCCATGGAATCACTCAATCCGGATTAGATCAAATATTTGGAGCGATTTCCTCACTTTAAACACTGTTGATTTTCAGACTCTCCACCTGTTGGACCGTTTCGAAAAGATGAACTTTTAGTTCAGTTTACAACACAATATCACCTCAAGGACTCCTCAGTTCAGCGGTGGAGTCTGTCGACTCTGTTTTTGAAAGGTGGACGGTCCAATGCCAGCTGCTCCACTTTAGCGTCCTTGATCGAAACACTAAAGCTCAAATTGCTCTTGAGTGGCGTAGCTGAAATGAATGGGACTGATGGGTACTGCACGCCGCATCCTCTGTCATCCATGTGTTAAAGTGAGAGTAAGTACAACACGCATGCTCGCCTAGTCTCCTAACATGCTGAAAAACTAAAAAATGCTTTTTAAGTACATTTTTTTACTTCTTTCAAGCTAGGTTCATATTAGTTAGGATCTGAGTTAGTTCCAGTTTTTAGGAGAAATCTTGAATGTAAACTCTGCCCCTCCCAACCAGTTTTCCCCTCAGCTCCTCCTCTCTGCTCCAGCAAGCCCCGCCCACAAACAGACGCTCCTGCTCGCTCCTATCGTTCCAGTTAAATTCAGATATAATGCAGATAAATACTTCAGATCATTACAAATGGGGCCCAGTCAAGGTGAAAGTCAAAAGCATTGGTGCTACTGTAGATGCCAACAGACTACCAGCAAACACAATGTTTGCAGGACTTCTACAACTAGGATAAAGTGACATAGTCCAGGACCCGAGGGAGGACAGTTTAGCGATGGCGCTACAACACGCTACAGCAGGTCCGTTTGACAAGAAACACTTCTGTTACAGACACGTGTCTTACTTTGTTAAAGCGGTTTACCTGTCCAGCAGAAAGGTTACAGGGTCACCAAGATCCCCAAGCGTCCCCCATCGTTTATGTTGACCCGGCTTTTTAGCTCTTGTCCGGTCTACCTCCGTTTTAAGCGCCCGTTATTCCTCCAGAGTCTCCGGTATTTACTTTGTTTTCTTGCTTGTGTCGGCAGTCGTGGCCAAAGGAGGATTCAGACAATTTTCCGAACTTTCTGGTTGGTTTTTACTGTCCGATATTGTAGCACGCTAACTTTGTTTGGGCTCCTGAACGACACTGGAGAGCAGCGTCTGCCTCACAACCAATCAGGATGGGGGAGGCGGGGAACGGCTTTGTTTATAGTCAGAAAGAGCGGAGTGCTAACTAATAACTATTGACTGATATTAAAAGCTTTTTTTGTATTTATTGTAAAAAAGATGCTTCTTTAACGGATTCCTGCCAACCCCACCTTTAATGGTTTAAATTGTGAAAAATGAAAGTGACCCTCTAAGTGCTGCTGGAGTAGATTATATCAACCAGTATTTTTATTTGACCAAATTTTAATAAAAACGGACAAAGGAAAAAGTATTTAGCGAAGTCCATAATTCTGTTTAAACAATCCAGATAATAACAAATGTGAGCGGCTCCACACTCCCCTCTGATTTCATTACTCACAGCAGGTTCAGGCTGTTTAATCGGTTCCACATCTACTCAACCTCAAACTGTTGTTCAGGGTGGAGAAGAGTGGAGTTGGACTCATCTGGCCCACTCTCCATTTGTTCTTTTTTAAACACACTCACTTGAATCCGAGAGCGTTAGAGTGTTGGGTCAGGTACAGTGCAAGGTCCCTGGAGCTGTTTAGCAGTTAAGTGGTCGTAATGCATTTAGTGTAAAGTGACTGGGATTGGGGGGCTTAGCCGCAGCTCTCCGCCTCATTCTTAGAAAAGTGCCTCTAGGTGCTAATACCAGCCGGATTTGTGGCACTCATTCACAAACAGCTCGACTCCTGCAGCACAGAGTCACTCTCCGTGGCCATTTTTATCCTTTTTCCTGTCTCTCCTCTTCCTCGCTGTTTCCGTCTCTTACATGAATCACGTCTGTCTCTTTGTTGCAAAAATCTATCTCTCATAATTCCGTCTCACTTCTACCTCTAACCACCAAAGTCTCCTCCACACTTTCACTCCTCACAGCCTCCTTCTGAAGCTTCCCGGAGTGTTAAATCTCAGGTCTCTTCCTCTCTCTAATGTCTCTCGACGGCGCCTTACGAAACCAGCCACCCCTCAAAGTTGCGTGCTCGCTGTACTCGCCCTACATTTCTGAATACACACTCGTCTACGCTGAATGAGCAGTCAGTTGGAGGGAGACAGACACTGCAGTGCTTCAATATGAGGGGTGTGGAAGATGTCTGGAGATCCCACTCACTCTGCAACCTACATGAGTGTGTGTATGTGTGTGTGTGTGATATATTTTTGCATGTTTATGAGTCATGAGTAGTACATGTTAAAGACATGACATGTGATCGTCTGTGCAAACTAGAAACATGTAATAAACATGTATTTTTTTATTGTTGTGTACATGCAACAGTCGTGTCTGCATGTTTGCATGCGTACACAATCTACAAACGAGTGTGTGTGTGTGTGTGTGTGTGTTTGCTTACTTGCACTGGGTTAGGCGCATTGTATGTGTGTGTGTGTGTGTGTGTGTGTGTGTGTGTGTGCTCCAGTACACGTACAGCTTATGTAACGCCCAGGCATGTTCTAACTCCACTGCGTCTGCTATGTGTGTGTAGGTGCCTGCTTGTACGCGTGCGCCTAGTTATGTGTAGTTATGGGAAGTGTACCCGCTCGCCTGTGTGCATGCATGTGTGTGAGTGTGTGTGTGTGTGTGTGTGTGTGTGTGCCAAGCAGACTGCAATGCCGCAACCAGCCAGCTCTGTATCATCATTGACCAAACTCGCCATCTGTGCCTGTAAGCTATAGAAACAGCAAGTCGCACTGCTACACAGCAACGCACACACACTCAGTGCACTGTGAGATCGCAGTGGGATGTCACTGAGTTGTTTTGTGTGTGTGTGTTTGTTGCAGGGGCATAATTGTGCATGTGTGTTTTAACATGTTGTCAGGTATATCACAGCCTGTACCTGCTTGTACACCAGCCTCCCTGCTCAGTGTGCTCTTTTGTGTGTGTGTTTTTGTAGTAATTGTGTGTGTGCAGGCAGGCAGGGAGGCCCACGGTGTATATGGGTCACTCTCTCAGGAACCCATAATCCCACGTTTGGACCAACTTACTCTCTGGGGTTTCACTCTTCCTGTTTGGCCGAGCTGATGGCAACAAGCATAATGACCTCACCACATCACTCGGTCATTGGCCTGCAGACCCCGGGCCTCTCAGCCAATCACACCCTGCTGCGGTGACGTATGGCATCCAGCTGCTGCTCTGATTGGCTGTGGAGGCGGGACTTGGGGGATGCTGTGCCGTTTAAGGGCCCCTCTCATTAGCTGAGGGAGAGGAGGGAGAGAGGCAGCATGAGAATTTGGGAGTTGGTGTTTTTAGGGACTCCTGTGGAACTACACTCAACCTGTGGCTTAAATATGAGTGACACCACAGGGGGATTACCCACTATAATACATGAATAAATATAAATAAATAGAATAAATCACGAAACTATAGTTGTTAACAATATTACCCACGTGTGAGGTTAAGTTATAAAACACGAGACAACCTCGGACGAGACATATCGATCCTCAAATTTAATATCCCAATGTCTTGATCGTGTTTTCAGTGAAACAAAATGACTCCACTCCGTCTCAAACTCTAACAGACAGACTGTCTACGCTCGTTTTCATGTTTGCAGACAAATGAAGAAGGGATGAATAGAGGAAGAAAAAGAGAGAAAGATTTCATTCCCGTCCTGCGTGCCTGTAGAAGTCACAGACATGCCCACAGAGGAGCCTGATTGGCCGCTGCGAGCCCTGCTCTCCCAACAGCTGTTCTCTGTTTTCCCACACTGCGATTGGCCGCGGCGAGACGTCTGTCAAATTTACTTTGACGCCTGGCCCCGCCCTCTCCTCCATTCCGCGGGTTCCTATTGGATACTGTACGCATTCGTGCGCCGCTATTGGCCGCCCGGGCTGGTTGTCAAGGCTTTGGGGCTTCATTCACCATTTTGCGACTGTAGTGTAGAATGTACAGGGCAGTAGTTTTTCCTCCTTTTAAGTTGCTTTGCCGGAGAAACATAAACGGCCGCTAATTGGCAACTGCGGACGAGTGGCAACCCTGCTCTATTTTACCCGGCGGACTCAACAGAAAACCACTCTGGGGGACTATATTTGCTCTGGTGAGTATAAGCTGCCCACAAATCTTTCTCCTGCAGCACTGCAGTGGGGCTTGTTGTGCTTTTTTTTGCCGAGGTGCTAACGTTGTTCATGTTTACTGTCTTAGCAGTTGAGCTGATCGGCATATTTTCCGATATCTGTGTGGCCTACGGAGAGGAGTAGAGGGCGGATTCGGTGTCTTGTGTGAAAAAAAGGGAGCGGTGCGGTTAGACATAGTGAGCTTGAAACTTTTCCACTAGAAATAAATTCAACGCCATAACTGCCGCTGGACTTCCGACAACAGCTGATATTCCGTGTGCGTTTTTATCAAGGACTCCTCGCTTGTCATTCCCTCTAACGCTGACATGTTTTCTTCCTCTTTCTCATGAATCAACGTGGCCGCTTGAATTAATGTGTTTTCACGGGGCTTCGGAGGCCTGCTCCCCTGACTACTTTGTGGCCACATATTGAGACTTTCTCCTTCTTCTATCACGTTTTCAATAATGCAAATAACGACACGGGTAATTACAAAGTTACCCGGACAGCTTCAGCTTTACTTTTACACGACTGTCACTTTCGGATGGGCCGAGAAAACCCACTTTATCCGCTGTTTGTCGTTGTGTTGTTGTGGATTGACAAAGTTAACATGTTCATCCGTCATGCAGCACAGGGAATATAGACCGTATTACATGGTATTACGGGTCAATATGTCCGGTAAACCGGTTATTTCCCGGTGACAGTGAGGAGAGGATTTCCAAGCGGCCTTGTGTGTAGTTGAGGCCTGGTCGCTGCACGCCACGGCCTGCTGTGTTGTGGAGTAAAACTGGTAGTAATCGGTGTACTACGAGGGCTTGACACATACACGGTACTATCCAGCTAAACCAGAGGTGACGACATCTCCTCCTGTAGTTTGCATTTTGTGCTTTGGGCCTCGTCGAGATAAAGTTAACAGCTGTTATCAACCCTGGATTATGATTGTGTCAATATATTCATACCTGCTGACCTGTTTATGAGAAAGAGCCTATAGTGGTTCACTGCTGGAGTTGAAAAGTTGCGATGCTAATAACAGAAATGACCGTGTGTATAGTAGGGTGGGTAAAAAACGTTATATAAAATGATTTAGCAACATTGCAAGATGAAAGGTCTCAATAAAGTTCACGCCTGGACTCTGTCTGGTAAAATAAGGTGAATCCTAAAAGTGTTTGGATGGCATCGGTGGTTTTTACTATTAAAAGGATCTCGTGTTGACTGACTTTGAACACTTGACTTTGTAATCACCTGCATTTTCTTTGTTTTTGCACCGTTGTGGTTAAAAAGTGATTAATATATGACCTAGACTTAGTCATCGCATTGCTAAATTGAATACTGCACATACTGAGGTAGAAACTGAACATATTTTGACACTTGACACAACTTTTAATCACCTAATTCTGCCTACAGTCATGTTAACCAATAAAAGAGCGCAAACACGTCTCAGTAAATAACGGTTTAACTGACTTATATACTGGTTGGGCTCTATTGTTGTGCATAAATGAGCCCGTTTTACATGTGTCAGTAGTGGTCGTTATGTTTTAATACAATTTGCCCTATTATGAATACATATTTATATTAATTACAAATACAATTACAATGCAGGAAAATTTAGCTTAGGAAATTAACATTTTGCAGAACAGATTTAGAATCAAATTAGTTGGAAACCACCTGAATATAAAAATCAGTTTAATGTTATTATCTAGTAATGAGCCTTTCATATCTGCTAAAGAAGCAGGGTTAGGGTTCACTGCCACGTTTCTATCCTCGCAAAGACTGACCAAACTTTGCAATGATAGTGTTTTTTTTAAACGGTGAAAATTCAACAAATGCAGGCTCAACTTATCATGCATCAGAGAAGCTTTTTGTCCACAAAGGCCATTGTCATTTCACAGACTGTGAAAAGCTAAGTGTTAAATTTTGCCGTTTTCCACACGCTGTACTTTTAATAATTATATTAATGCTAAATATGCTCCGGTTGAGTTATTTGTTTGAGAGAGATGCCCTCAGGACACCTTAGCATGGTCATATCAGTACAAAATTGCATAATCCATGCAATTGGAAGGTCTGTTTTCACTCCAGCTCAAAGTCTGTAACAGAAAAATGTACCTGTAATGTTATTGTAATTGTCTACAGGACTTTATATTAGCTAGCATTTAATGTTTAAAGCATGTCATGGTAATTTGAATTTGGTGATTAAACCCTCAATTGAAGTTCATCCAGAAAGGTAGAGGTTAATATTTCTGTTACCTCACATGACTTGTATCAGGATGATTCTACCTACAGCCATGTGAATTACATATTCATGTCAACCTGCAACAAAATGGTAAACATTTTAGAGCAAACAATACATGATTGAACTTGTTAGCCTGTACTTTATTTATGCCTTTGACGCCTCCTACTATAGCTTCCATATGGGTCTCTTCGCTCCTTATTTCACAGGCTGGAGTGTAGGTTGCATCAGGTAGTCTATAAGCTGTTATCATTAGGCCCATGACTCTGACACCAGCTGTTGTACACAGCTCACTACTGAGTAAACACACGTAGCATACCTCTATCGTGACCAAGTAAGGCTGGTTGCCAAATAATTTTATGGTGGCTGCTCTACGGCTGGCTGTCCTAAATAGGGATTTACATAGTGCACAGTGATGGCTGTGAGCTCTCTAACTCTCCGTGTGCACTATCAACTATCATCACATAGATGTTTGCTGTGTGTGTGGCCTTGAGACAGGCGGCACTCATCTCTGAAAATGGATTTCTCTCTAGACGATATGATGTGGCAGATATTAAAAGGACCTGAATGAATGCGAGCCTTCACAGACAAACAGGAAGGCAGCAAAAGGGAAAAAGAGACAGGCAGACAGAGAGAAAAAGACTGGTGGGAGGAAGGATGTAGAAACAGGGACAGACACGCAGACATGTAAACTGACAGACAGTCACTGACAAGTAGACATGCCTAGTGGTGGATGATCGACATCAATCCAGAACATTTTGACAGATGGAGTGAGAAATAAAAAGCAGAAAGACAGATCGTATAGGGGATGTTTGGTTCTCCCTCTTATACACTTGTTAACGTCTCTCTCTGGCACTTGTAGCAGTGTGAAGACGGTTGTGTTGGAAGAAACGAGGCAGAGCACACAGCAGTAAGGACCCGAGGCAAGTCCTGTGCGTATCTGCCGCTCAGCAAACAAACCAGTTAAATGACAGCAGTTCCAGGTTCAACAAGTCAGCGAAAACAATCTGTTTTAGTTTCTAAAGGGAGGCGGGACTGTGAATGAGTTCGGTGTGGGATAGGAGATACTCTGAATGACTCTGGCATGGGTAAGAGCGATACCGAGTGACTCTGGTGTGAAATAAAAATAATTTGGAACATTTCTGCTTGCTCTTGGTTGCAAAGATACTGGACTAAATCTAAGCAGGGACTTAAGTGGAAGGAGAGGAAAGAGAGAGAGAGAGGGATGAGAGATAGAAATCGATATAAGAGAGAGAATTCAGGCAGGGCACAAGAATGAAAGTGTAATAGTAGCAAAGAGAGAGAGGGAGGAATAAAGTAACGGGAAGTTAGGTAATGGTCTTCCACAGGAAATGGAGTTTGTAGGGGCGGATTGACTGCTTTGAAATACATAGATAAAGGTCGCCACAGAGAAAGAGAGGGAGCGGAGAGTGAGAGAGAGAAAGGGAGGGTTTCAGTATGTGAGCGAAGAAGGAATTCCCCCGCCTCTACTGCCCCGGCCAAGAAGTAGTGTGTGAGAGAGTGTGTGTGAGAGGAGTGTATGCAGTAAGGCTTGTCCGGGCAAATTGCAAAGTGCCTCTCACTATTTCCATACTGTGTTGTTGGGCTATCTTCTATTTACCCTACTATATGACCTCCTGTTTTCAATATGTACCTGGTATGGATGCAGGCCTTGTGTAATGTGAGTAGATACTGTTATGTAACGAATTAATGTGTAATGAATTTGTAGATGAGTCATTTTTGTTACTACTCCTGTACCATGGTGCATCATTTAGCAGGGAATACCTTTCTAGAAATTAATGTTTAATCCTCTTTTTAGTCGTACTCTTCCCTGATGCCTGGGATCACAAGATGTTAGATTTTGGGCGTTTGTTTTGAATTATTTTGGTTTCTTTTTTAATAGATTTTTATTTTTAAATTTAGTTATGTCTTTGTCAAAGCCGTGCAGTAAGCAGCTATCTCGTGTGGTGAATAGGCTTTGTGCATGTCTGAATGTGTTTTCCACATGAGTAACCCACACTCCCTGTTCCCTTTCTTCCACAGTCTCTGAAATAAGGTGGGCAAGTGCCGAAGTCTCGCAACGAAGACAAGAAAGGATGAGGGAGAGAGGCCCTGGCAGAGGAGGAAAATAGAGAGGAAGAAGGGGAAGACGACGAAAACGAGGCAAAGCGAAAGAGGAACGCCAAAGAGAATCTCTGGGATAAATAAATAAAAGGACTTGTTTGGAGGAAAGGCAAGCTAGATGAAAAGATGAAGCCGATAAAAAAGCAAGGCCGGCGCTCTCCACCCTCAACCCGGGCGAAAGGGGGGAAGCGTCGAGGAGCAGGGGAAGCCCCGGAAGGAGGGGAGAAGAGGGACTCAGATGAGAGCAGAGACAGGAGTAGATCCCCCCAGAACAGAGCACCTTCCTCTTCCTATTCTTCGAATTCGCACTCAGAATCATCACAGGTGGACCCGACCAGAGTACGTGGCACTTCGGAGGAGGAGGAGCTCCACAGAGAAGGGCTGTCAGAGTCGACGGTATCGCTTGTGATGGATTCTGGGAAATTGTTGGCATCCTCAGATGACAGATCGGGGAGATCAGCTGTGAGCGGTAGCAGCCACAGTGACAGCGGTGGTAGCAGTTGCAGTAACAGTAGTACACCAAGCGCCAACAACAGCCCAAACCCCGCCTCCAGCAGGAAAACAGCCACATTTAAGGCTCGAGTCCCCAAGAAGAAATATACCTCTGAACACTGCTCATCTACTACTGGTAACCATAGCAACCCTTCATCCAGCACACCCCCTCCTCTTTCTCTTAGCGGTGGGGTCATCAACCATGGGTCAACAGGTTCAGGAAGTGACATCTGTGTCTCGCACCCTGACGGTAACGGTCAGAGTAGGAGCCTGATGGATGACTTCCATGCCAGGACCATGGGCAGAGAGGGGCATCAGGACAGCTCCCCGGGACCACCTACCCTGTTGCTAGGTGGGGAGAGGGAGAGGCCTGGAAGAATTGAAGGGGTTCGAGATGCAGAGCGAGTGTCGCCCAGCCCCCTGCCCCGCTGTTCCTCAACAGACACTGCCAGTGAGCACTCAGCTGACTTGGAAGTAGTCGGCGACTCACATGCCCCCATTCATGCACCCACCAGTATCTCTGATGCACTGTCTGATGCCCTCGCCAAAGGCCTAAAAAATCAGCGTGTCCTTGCCCGCCAGATCAGGAGAAGGAGTGACGAGGAGGGAGGAGGTGAGAGAAGGAACGAAGGTGGGAGCTCAGATTTGGTGTTTCGGGCTGGGGTTGTCCGAAAGGTTAGTGGCGAATATGGAAGCCTGGAGGTGCAGTTGAACGGGGAGAAGACACTGTGTCGTTATCCATATCGACATGATAGCCCCTCTGGGGTGGTGGACATTATCTTAGATGCCCCGCCCCCTGGTATCCATCCAATACCCATTGGCACTCGTGTCTGTGTTCCCTTTGGCAATGAGGAAGGCAGTGAGGGCCAGTGGCAGTGGTACAGAGAAGGTGTGGTGAACCAGGTGGACACACACCCTGCAGTGGCCAACCGCTACCGTGTCCTTCTGTCTGAACAAAGATCTCTATCTTTGGATGAGGATGAAATAAACAGAAGGGCTGCTGTGGCTACTCAGGCAGTTTGGGTCTCCCGACAAACACTCAGGCTCCTGGTACCACCTTGGGACCTGGATTTGCCATCTGGAGCAGGCAGAGATGGAGATGACGGGGTCAGGGACAAAGAAAGGGAGCGAGAGGACAGAGATGAGATAGACGTGGAGAGAGAGGTTTGCTGTTTGAGCCAAGGGATGACACCTGGAGTGGGGCCGGTGCTGGGGAGAGGAATACCTTACCCAGGCATGGTCCCTGTTTCCTCTACATCAGGCCACAATATTGCCTCCCCTGTAACCCCAGCATCAGTCCTCAGCTTAGCCCCAGGTCGAGAGTGGGAGGGGGAGAGGGAGAGGGAGAGGGATCTCCAAAGAAAACAGGATAGAGAGAGGGAAAGAGAGAGAGAAAGGGAGAACAGTGGGAAGCAGCAGCCACAACAGCAGCAGCAGCACCAACTTCAGCAGCACCACCCTTACATGCCACTCACCCCTGAAGAAGACATGGAGGTGTCCCACTTTAACATGGTTCCAATGGGGGCAATCATACCTGGGGCCAAACCAATGGCGATTCACCAACATCGCCACATTGTCTCTAAGCCCCCACCTGGCTACCTCAATCCCCACCTGTCAGTGGTGCGGGGCATCGGGATACCCCCTGCACACCTGGCCTTGAACCCCCATCCTCCTCCTTCTCCTGTCCTGTTAGGCCTTGACCCAGCAACAGCAGCAGCTGCAGCAGCTGGTGCTGTCATCACCACCCCTCAGCTCCCCCCTCTCACCCCTATTTCCTCTTCCACCCCGTCCTCCTCCAGAGTAGAGAAAGCCCCAGGAGGAGGTTCTTCCAGTGGAGGGGCGGGCGGTGGATCAGGATCTGGTTCCACCTCCTCCTCTTCATCACGTTCCCGCACCCCGCTGACAGCTGCCCAGCAAAAGTACAAGAAGGGAGATGTGGTGTGCACGCCAACAGGCATCCGTAAGAAGTTTAATGGGAAGCAGTGGAGGAGGCTGTGCTCCCGTGAGGGCTGCTCTAAAGAGTCTCAGCGCAGAGGATACTGCTCCAGACACCTCTCAATGAGGACCAAGGAGATGGAAGCGAGTGGAGGCAGTAGGGAACGTGGGGGAGCTAGCAGCACAGGGACTCTGACGCCGTCTGACTTCCGACTAAGCGGTGGGAGAGCAAGCTCAGAGTTCGACTGGGATGAGACCTCTCGGGAAAGTAGTGAGGCCAGCAGCCGTGGAGGAGACTCCCGCCCTCGTTTGGTCCTTCCCTCTCTGCTTCCCCAAGATCTCTCCCGTTTTGACTTTGATGAGTGCGAGGCAGCGACAATGCTGGTCTCCCTGGGTGGTTCTCGCTCAGTCACTCCATCATTCTCCCCTATCTCCAACCAGTCCCCCTTTTCCCCGACCCCATCACCCTCGCCATCTCCGCTCTTAGGCTTTCGCCCTGCCAATTTCAGTCCAATTACTGCTCCTTCCTCACTCACCCCACGCCGCCATCGCCAGCTCAGTGGCACCAAGATGGGCACGCCAGGAGTTGAGCGTGAGCGTCACCTCTCTGGGATCATTCCCACATTTCAGACCAACCTAACTTTCACAGTTCCCATGAGCCCCAGCAAAAGAAAGCTTGACTCCCATCCTCCTCCTCCATTGCCAGCCATTCAGGACTACCAGAGCAAACCTGAGCAGCAGCAGCTGGTGGGCATAGGTGGAGGAATGATTGGAGACGCAACAATGGGCCACAGCCCTGCAGCTTTCAGAGTCCTCTCCCCCCAGAGTCAACCCACGACTCCTTCCTCACTTTCCTTCCCCAGGCCTCGAAGCGCCACCAGCAGACCACCATCCTCTGCTGCCTCCACGCCTCCACCCATGCTGGTCTCTCCTACTCCCCCCTCCCCACTGCCCCAGGAACCTTCTCCACGACGAATCGTGCCCCTCCGCGATTCCCCGGTCATTGTCCGCAATCCAGATGTCCCCCTGGCCAAGTTCTCGGATGGTCCATTAGGAAGGAGGGAAAGAAGCAGGTCCAGAGAGCACAGCCAACCACAACACGCAGCTCCCCCAGGCCTGCAGGTCCCCGTGCCCATCAACGGGGCCACCACCAATGGTGCAGTTCTTCTGCGCAACCCAACATCCACACTTGTCCTGGTCACCTCCAGCTCGGTAAGAAAGTCACAGTTCTTAGTTTTTGTCTTTGTATGAGTCATATATGGGTCAAAAAAAGGGGAAAAGTTTTTCACATTCTTGGGTTTTTAAATCAGTACACACTTTTTAAAGCTCATAAGATGCTTTATCGTAGGGTGACCATACGTCCGCTTTTACCCAGACATATCCTCTTATTTGGGAGCTGTCCGGCCTTGTCTGGGGAAGTTAACAAAATCCTTCAAATGTCCAGGGTTTTGTATGGAAGCTTTGAGTTCATGTCATGTGGACTTAATGAGTTAGAACCGTGTAAAAAACACTCGACCCGACCAGAAAAACTCTCAAAATTGACTACACACAACTCTGCAACTCTGCCCCTGGTAATCGTGTCCTCTTTTTGGGGATTCAGAATATGATCACCCTATTTTATCATCAAAAATATATGCTGCTAGTCAAACTTAATCTTGTAAAAGAGACTGTGTACTGTTTCTGAATAACTTACATTCACTGTATAGCCTTAGGAAAGAAAGTTTTAAGAGACAAATAAACACCACCTTAAAAGTAAACCAAAGGAATAAACCTTAATTTTGGTACCACATACTTTCCCCAGTGGATCATGAGTTTGCCCCAAAAATCTCGTTTTCTCCAGGTCTGCTTGGAGCCGGGGAATCACGGCAATAAAACATCAAAATGTTCATCTAATCTTTGTCATGTTCCACGAGTTACATAATTTAAAATCAAAGCGCTTTTAGTCGGTAATTTAGAAAGAATGCATGAATGTTTCAGATGCACTGGACACATGTACTTATAACGACAGCAGAGAAGCAGATTATACTGAGAAGATGCTATTATCGACCCCAAAAGTCTAGTTTTGGTTGGGAGTCTTGTTGACGAAAAAAGTATTGTTGATCTGATTTGTATTTTCTGTGGGTCAGTAGTGCTAAAACTGTTGTCTTGATGTGTCTTCCCAGTCCCTGAGTTCAGCCACAGTGGGTAACGCTGCCCTGTCCAGCCCCTCCAGCATTGGGTCCTTGCCCACATCAACAGGCTCAGTCTTGTCCTCCTCTGGCTCTGGGGGCAGGGAGAGGGAGAGGAAACCTGAGGGACACCAAGATGCCTCTGGAGGGGCTCTACCACAGCCGGTAGCCTGTCACCCAACCCCGACTGCACTTCTGCCGCTCATACTGCCAGCTGAGTCGCCTCACCCTGCTCCACGCAAGCAAATCATCATGGGACGCCCAGGGACTGGTAAGGAAGGAAGGGAAGAGGGAGTGGGGAACTGTTCTGGCACTGTTGGCTTTGTTCAGGTGATCTGAAGTCTTCTGAGCTGCTCTTTCAGTGTACTGTAGAAAGGGATATGCTGAAGCTTATGTACTCTAGCCTAGTACTTCTTGCTGTCATTATCTCTCTAGGGTTACAGGAGTGTCATCTGAGTGCTATGGCTGTGACTCATGTACACATTACTGTTGTTTACTTGCAGCGTAAGAAGTAACTACATTCAAAGGGCATCTTTTTAATCCTCTGCTTTGCAGGGACTTTTTAAACTTTGGGGATTCTTTTTATAAAGTTTACATTCCTATGTGGCAATTATCAATTTTTAACACTGTTTGCTGTTTTTGCTTGTAACACTTGAATGATTTTCACAACAAAACAGGAAAGTGGTCTCATTCACATACAGCAAAAACAGAAAAGCCACACATGCATGAGTTATAGACAGACTTGGTAGTAATTAGGGGTCTCCCGCTACAACATTTTTACTTCCGATGCCAATATTGTAACCTTCAGTATCGGCCAATACTGATATTGATATTGGCAGAAACTTGTGTATGACAAGTTTTCCACTCGGCTGCAACTTCTTTTTCGGACTTTAACCAAAAATACTGCCCCACAGCTGACATCACTCTTACTCCTTTGTACTTTGTTAGTAGTGATCAGGTGGGCTCTGAATGCTGGATCAGGGCGCTGCTAGCTAGAGGTGCTGGAGTGGAGTCTAGAATGGACTGCTTGAATCGGAGTGCTGATATCTGAGATTTTAGATGCAGGTTGATATAATCTAATATTTGATTTTTGGCTGATATTGGACTGATATCAGATATCAATATCATATCGGGACAGCCCTAGTAGCAATGACATTCATTTTTGACTGAAGCTTGAGTGCAGAAGTTATCACAGTGCTTATTTCTCACCAAGTTATTACTGTTTGTAACATTTTGAGTTATGAGCTGTGCTGGGCGGAGGTGAAGGGGTGGGGGGGTGCAGTGCTGCTGTTTGAGAGACATGGGAAGGTGGTGATGTCACCCCGATCAGCTGTTTGTGAACCTTTGTCCAAAGTTTGTATTCTGGTGAAAAATCTATTGTGAAACTATTTTCTCGGCTTTGTGTGCACACAGTTGGATGTAAGAAAGTGGCTACTGAGAAATAGAGGTGTTGGGTTAATCATATACTTAATGCTTGTTTCCATGCCAACGTTGCGAGATTGAGCCAAAACTCAGAGATGTTACTTTGAATATATGAATAAGGAAGTTGGTTTCTGCTTAAAATGCACAATATCTCTTGTGTTTCATTTTAACACAACACTTTCAAAACCTGCAAACTGAAAGTGTGATAAATGTACAGGAATTTGTCTTTGGGCAGAGAAATATCGGCAATTTACAGATCTTTCAGTTTCACACTTCTCTCTGACATTTGCTATGAAGAAACTGGTGTAAGCAAGTCTTACAGATAATGATACTCAGACTGTTTTTTAGTAACATGTACATTTAGGGAGCTTTGAAGCATCGCAGATACAGAGAAACTGTCTGAAACCATTTACACGAGTGTCAAAAGTACCAAGTTCTTGCTTTGAGTATTTGGTATTTCATAACCCTTCTGCGATTAATAATTTCTTGACTTGGATCAAGTGGCAAAGATGAAACCTTCATCTTCTGAGGCATGAAAATCAGAAAAGGTTTGATATATCAGTAGCTCAGGCAGCCTCCCAGACCTGCTGCTCACCCTGTGTAATTTGTGACTCAGAGTGTGTAGTGTCAAAGTTATTGAGCGTGCGTGTGCAGGGGGTGTCGCTCTTTTTTTGTGGAAGCTCGTGTGCGTGTGAGAGAAAGAGATAGGGGGTGTTTCATAGAAACTTTTAAGGATATTGACATGTCTAGACATGCAAGACTCAGCGTTGGAGTTCACCAAGGACATTCACACCTCCTCCTCCTCCTCCTCTCCTTATACACTCACACACACACACACACACACACACACACACACACTCATACACACACTCATACACACACATGCGCATCTCAATGTTCCAGACAATCAACAACCTCAGACAGGGCATCAAGGGCAGGTCCAGCGTGATGTGAATGTGTTTCATCACTCTCAGCAGTAAAAGGAGTAATTGTATTGCTGGCGTGTTGTCATGGATACACGTTTCCACCGGTAGAATTAGCGCAGTAAAGCGTTGAGCCCTGAGCTGATTATCGAAGCGCGCTTTTATGTCTCTCTCCCTCTCACATCCCTCGCACTGCTGCTAACAGCCACCTGCCTCTGTAGCGTAACGTTTCCTCCGCCATACATTTTTAAAAACACCTAGAGCCACAGTGGGCCCAGAAACAAACACACACACAGGCAGGAGGCAGCGGAGGCCCCACGGCTGAGATCTCTCCTATATATAGCCCAGCTCAAGTGCAGCTGCATTAGCATCACAAGTTTCATTACTGCTCTCTTTGAGTACATCTGCAGCCTTCGGTGGAGAGCAGATAAGAGCTCTGATGTAGCTGGGGTCCCATCTTGTTACACAGCTCGAGAACTTTATTATTGCTGCTGCTGCTGCTGCTGCACCCACAGGAGAAATGATTGAGAACCTTCTCCTGCAGTAGTAATGTGTGGTCTATCATATCAACCTCCTCTCTATCACTGCTACTCCTAATGCTTAAAGTAAAGCAACAATGACAGGCGGATGCCTCAGCAGTGTTTCTGTCATCCCTCACAGTATTAGGGGTGTCAGCAGGTCCTCTTTAAGTTCAAAGAATATCAAGTGTTATCTCTTTAGCACCATAAAGGATGAGATTGTTAGTCTTTCTTTATTCCTCACTGTCAAAAAAATCTAAAAACAACAAAGCATTCGTTTCTCTCTCAGTTTCCCCGTCCGCAGCTCTCAGCTTATTTGATCTTTTTTAAGTATATTTAAGTTTCATCTCTTATTAAAAACAAGCAGATCATTTCCTCAAGAGTTGTGTACTGTAGCTTTAAGCAAATGTTACCCAAGCGCGAGTGAATATTGCATTTGATGGGGGATATTTTCAGCAGTGCATTAATACATATTTGCTGGGCTTGTGGGTAATTTAGAGGTAGGCTGATGTATATTGGTTTAACTAGAGAACAGAAAGTAGAGAAAATGTCAGCCAATGCATGAAACTAAAGGACGCACAGTGGTCGAAAACATCAGGGTTCATTTATGACTGAGATAAAGTCAAGAATATTTTAAAGTCTTGTCTTTAAGAGTTGCAGACATGTGATCCTTTAACAATCCTTTAACGGTGATATTCAGTTGAGGCAGAGCTGAAAGTAAGACAAAGTAAGTATGAGTATCTTAACCACAACTGTGGGTGGAAACGGTGCATAATGTTGATTTGCACGTCAGTTGGGTGACATTTTGACACTTTTGAGTTTTCAGGGTTAACAGTGATGGTCTGTGAGGCGTTAACTGCTGAGTTGCTTCTTCAGATGAATTTCTAAACTAATTTTAGCAGAATTAATCTGTTTCTGTTAGAATTCTTTCCAACCCTCTTGATAAGATCAGCGTGTTAGAGCTCTGAAATGTCTGTGAAATACATGATATTTGGCTACAGGAACCCCCGAAAACCTCAAAACTAGTTTTTGTTTCTGATTGTCTGGCGATGTAGTTTCAATGACAGATATAGAACAAACTGTATGTCTAATTGTGGGCTTTGGCAAGTCATCATAGCAGCGTGAGTTAACTGTAGTGATACTAGTGAAATGAGGCACCATTTCTCCTTTGTGTTGTTACGCTAGAATAAGATTAAGATGTTTCCCTCGCGGTTGAATAATCTTGATGCCGAGTGTAGATGTAAATTCTTGAAGTCTACTGCAGGGTTGTCATATTCTGAAGACGACTCACTTCCTCAGTCTTAGTTCCTTATGCAAAACGGCTAAACTGTCAGTTTGAAGTAAGGAGATCAAAGGTCAGGGCACAGTGATAATTGTCATGTTCACCAGGATCAGCACAAGCAGAAAAGAACATCATGATCAGTCTGTGCGGTTTACAGCGCATCAGACACGTATGTGCGTTCATGTCTGATATCTAGCTCAGCATTATCTGGATATCCATTTTAGCTGAGCTATATCCTGTGAATGGTATAGAGCTATAAATAGACCACTTTAATGGTGTATTAAAGAATTATAAATGGAAACAGGAACTGGACTTTGCAGTGCTGCAGCACAGTTCACAGCCAGTTTATCTCCTCCGAGCTAGATTTGTGCTTGGAACACCACAGTCAGTCGAGGAGTGAGGACTCGGGCTGATCGTCTCTGTCTGTTGAGGCTGAAGTGCCAGGAGTGTGTTCTTTGTGATGCTTTAAACTTCACCCCCCTTAAACTAGCTTTTGGTGACGCCAGCAAGGAGAGAGTCATTCATGGACACATCTGATTTGGTCAAAAGACAGAAGTAAGGAGAGAGAGAGAGAGAGAGAGAGAGAGACAGACGACAACAGCTATGTTAATAATAGAGACCAATAACAGCAGTGCTATCCACACAAACCTGCAAGATGAGGGAGCATGAAACCTCCGGGGAGGGTATAAAGTTAGTAACATATTTAAAAGTCCCATCAATGTATGAATGCATGAATGATGGAGAGAGAGGGGGAGAGAGAGAGATGAGCAGAGAGGAATTTGGTGTATCAAGTCCCTAAGTAGCCTGGGTCTATAACTGCATCACTAGGGGGTTTGTGAAAGATTGGCCTAGTTAGCCCAGACTGTAGCAACAAAATAAAGATGATAGTTGCTCGTAATTAAATGCCGGATTGTTAAAAGCTCGGCCTGAACTCAGTGAGCATAACGCTCTTCAGCGGTTATCAGCTGGTCCAGGCTCTCTGAGATACGATGGTGTCTGGTCATGAAGAGTTTTGTAGGTGTAAAAAAAAAAAAAAGTTGAGTGGAAAAATATGATCTCTATTCCCAGATCCTGTCAGTATACATGCAGCAGCATTTTGGACCAGCTGAAGAGTCTTCAGGGAGCTATTACAGCAGCATGGAGAACAGGAAATTTATTATTCAGCATGGGAGAGTCGGGTACATGGACTTGTTTTTCTGTAGACTACTGTATGTTCCTGATTTTTGCAACGTCATGCTGCTGAAAAAAAAGGTCACTAATGTCATAATGGATAAATATAAAGCACAAAAAGCACAACACGACCAGAACTACTGTGGGAAATACTGAAAAGTCAGATTTAAACTCACCATCAGTGTTAGCTCTGGGTCTGTTTTCTGGTGACTGACAGACTCAGCGTGTGTTTAACACTCACTCTCGGTTCCAGCTGGGTTTTTATGGCCCGGTTTGAGACCCAAGGCCCCTGACCAAAAGACTCAGTCCATGCACCCAAACTTTCTGAAACCCCAAATCATTTTTGGCATATGCAGAGGAGTCATCACAGAGGTGTCCAAACTGAGATCGGGCTGATAAATAGGATTTAAATCAGCTTAAGGCAGCTCCTTCAATGTCAATTAAGTGTTCTGTGTCTGTAACAGGATCTGGTGGTCATTCGTATCGCACGCCATAAACCTCGTGTGATTGACAGCTCGAGTTTGCAGCGGTTGTGGTGTGAGCTTTGGCGTCAGCTGTTATAAATCAAATAAAAATGGTGATAGTAAAAGAAGAAGTAGCAGTTTTAGTGAAGTGAAATCATGATGGTCTGAAGATAATGTGTGACCGGCATCTGTTTTTTGACCACATGAGGTAACCTAACATCTCCAGATTAATTCACTTTGAATGATCTAGTCTTGAGTGTCTGCATCTCTGTTGTGTTAATATGTCTGAAAATAATAACCCAACAACATTCAGCACGTGTGAAATTTGGCGTCCACTCTGAAGTTTGATAAGTGTGGAGTGTAAACATGCCGACATTTCCTCCTTAGCGATAAACACAGCTGAGGATTCTGCTGACGTAGCTCTGCGGGCAAAACAATGCACCAAAAAAATCTGATCTAAGAATAGTTTAAGGAAAAGGTGAGTAACCAAACTCTTACAGGTTCGTCCTCAGGGGGGCGTGAATGTTTCTGCAAATCTCAGAGTCGTTGTTGAGGTGTAACTGTGGCGGATATTGTCTTTTTTTTTCTTCTTTTTGTGATCCATACTCCTGACCTAATACTCAAAACAATATTGTGATATTACCCATTGGCATAAGACCCGTCTCTAAATGTACTTGACAGAAGCGTGACAGCAGTCTAGACGGCGGGTTGTCTGGAGTCTGGATTCTCTGTGGATAAAATAACAGGTTCCCTCATCCCATCTCACACCACATGACCCCTCAGCTCTCATTATCCCGCGGGATGGTCTCTGTGCGTGTGTAGGAGATGGGGGCAGAGTAGGTGGCTGGATACATAACTCCATTCATGGTCTTCAGTCTTGGGCAGTTTCTTTGAAAGTGTAGTTTTTAGTAACACTTTGGCTCATCTCTGGCTGATGATCACATAGGATTTCACATGCTGCCAGAGGGCAGACCGCTACCTTCTGTCCACTGACACGATACTGGAGTGGATAAACATGATGACATTTTTAATTTTCCTTTCTCTCGCTCTCTTTCTCTCTCTTCGTGTTCCCACAGTTTGGACCAACGTGGAGCCTCGGTCGGTGCCAGTGTTCCCTTGGCATTCACTCGTCCCTTTCCTGGAGCCCAGCCAATCAGGAGCGGCTGCCCAGCCCGCTGACGGCCAACTGCTTGTCAATCAAAGCAAAGGTAGCGAATGACCCCACTCCTTTTTTTCTCCGGACATGTCATCATGACTTTTTACTTTTGGCCAGGGACGCAGACAGTTAAATTCCCAGCTTGTATACAAAAAAATACGTGGCTGTATGTTACGAATGAGCGTTTCCCAGAGTAAAGATAAAAAGGAAACCCTATCTGGTGCTGTGTTTCACAAAGAAAGACTGCCAAAACACTCCAGTACACAGCCAGTACAAATGTTGGTTGGACAGACCCGCAGCCAAGTCAGTGTTTCCCAAAACAGTTGCGACTGAATTGCAAATCAGCACAGTTGGTGTTCACACCGATATAGTTCCAGTAACATTGTTGATAACAATATTTATTGGCTGGAGCATTAACATTTTTTTCTGAGACTAGTGTTGACCGGATGAGGATGGTCAGTTGTCTGAAAGCAAATCTCAAACTCTTGAATAATTTCTCTGTGAAGGGTGTCTCAGTTATCTGCCTGTATCTGTTTATCGATTGACTGTTTAGTTGGTGAAAAGTCAGCAGACGCAGACAGAGACCAGACTCCCTTTTAACATTTGATCCGTCTAAAACACAAAGATGTTCATTCGTTCAAGCTCAACCATTTCAGTACGTAGAAAAAGGTGACCCGCTGTTCTCGCACAGCACCGCTTCATTTTCATTTGATTAATAACTGGCGAATAAACTCAGCTTCAAGTAGTTAAATAGACAAGCCTACTTTCAGGAGTAATTTCATGCTTATTTACACCACACTCGTGACTTTGTCATATTACCCGAAGAAAACAGTGATGAATGGTTGAAATAACCCTGAAAGACCGGCGCTGTCGAATCCATGCTGTCTCCCAGGCCCTTTCTTCAGCCAGTAGCCTTTTTTAAAATGAGGCATAGCAAATTTCTGCCATAATCACGCCTTTGAATTCTTATATAGATCCTGCAACAGTGTGATATTGGTGTCCCAATGTGTAATTTCACACTGCGTTACGGCGTTGCAGAAGCATAAGAAATAAACACATACACATACACACAGGATTGGTCTACCCGGCCTGTTCTGACGGCTCATAGTGATCTCGTCCCGTCTCTGTTACTACCTCTGATGCCAGAACAGCAGCAGGGGGACAGTTTGGTACCTCCGTAGTCAGTGAGTGGTTGTGTGAAATGCACCAGTTTGAGAGAGAAGAAGGAGAGATTGTAAAATTTGAGGAATTAGGGATCATTCTTCTCACGTATCAGAGCAGTTTTTTGTCCACCAAAGCCACCGTCCCTTCACACATTTCAATTTCGGATTTGGACCACAACATATCACTAAATACTCCCAGTTTTGCACACTGTACTTTTAAGGTGGTGAGAATAGCAGACTCTTTTTCTACCACTGATTTTTCTCGCTGATCCCTGAATCTTTTACCTTCACACTTAAATTTGCTGTCAGAAATCTAGTCTTTATAAACGCATTAAAACAAAGTAAGCTAACCAAATGGCCGTCTTCAGGTATTCATTGAATCCTGGAGGAAGTATTTTCTTTATATGTGAGTAGTCTCGAGCTCCATCTTACATAAAACTTCCCTCTTACTACTGCTACAGATGATCACATAACATAGTCACAGATTCTCACACCTCCCACAGTCACTTGGCCGGTATAGAGCTATCCATCAACAGGCTGCACGCCCCGTGTTTACACATATGGCACTGTGAGGTACTTTATTAGAGCTTCTCTCTGACTGGCACATTATACTATTAATATTATATTATATTATACCATATACTATTATTCTATGTTGCAGAGCCTCGTTGCGCTGTGGCCTTGGTGAGCGACGGGCGAATCGGCCCTCCAGACCTCGAGAGGGGATCTCCGTCATGCCCTCCCCCGACCAATGACAATCCTCCTTTAGATAGGGGCGGGGCTGACAGCGAGACAGAGAGCGATACAGACGACCCGTAAGTACAGAGAGGTTGTTATGGAGAATGTTTTCAATGGTTTTCAGTGTCAAAATGTTGTTACTGGAAACAAAAAGTTCCACAGCAGAATGCTCTGCGGCGCATTTCTCCGCGGTTGTCAAAGTCTGTCAACGGCTGCGGATGGCAAACTAAATCGGGACAAGAAGAAGCACAAGAGAGGAAAGATTTAATATATATTCAAGTGTAGAGAAGCTCTGTGGCACATCAACCACGCTGTGAAACGAGGCCAGAAAACAGCCCGACAAATCTGATCCTATTTAGACCTGGTTCACACGCAAATGTGGTCATTTATACGTGTGGAAAGTTACCCAGACATTTATTTGACATGTTCATTAAAGTCGTATCGAAGACTCTGGTTGTGTAATTATCAAAAACAGATTTCTTTTTTGCACGAATGATGGTAACTTTTCAAACAAAACTCGACTGATTTGGCCTTTTCGATGTTTCCCGACTTGTTTTGGTTTTAACTCAGGACCTCAGGAGACAGGACCTTGTACATTGTTTGTTTCCTCTTTGCAACTCTGGAGATGACTCATTAGAGAGCAGATAGTATCCGTAGATTATATGTACAAGAGTAGGCTGTAAATCTTTAGAGGACACCACAGTCAGAAGTGGCGCAGTGAAACCTACCTTTGAAAGCAAAATTCAGCAGGAATAAACAGCAACAAACAACTTTTTTTACCAGTTGCATCAAGTTTGTGTGTGTGTGTGTTTGTGTCTTTGGCAAGAGTTATACAGTCTGTGCTTGTTCATTCCACTCAGTCTCAGGCTGCGTCTCTGCGTCTGGCTGGGTTATTGCTCTTTCAGAGTGACTCAGACGGGCTGCGTGGCTGTCTGGCTGGTAGTGTGGTTTTGAATGCTTCAGGGTCACTGTGCTCTCTGCGATGGCGGCGCTGTTTAGTGCCGCCATCATTGAGAGCACAAAAAGAAATGCTTCAGCGGTCTCTAAGTGGTGCAGCGGTTACACCTGTTATCTAGCTGCACCTCAATGGAGAAACTAATGGCATTCATGGAAACAAAGTCGACATATTTAGCAACCATGCATTAGCTCTTTTACTCTTCTTCTACTAATTGCATTTGGAGAGTACAGCTGCTGCAAACAAGCTTTTAGAACAATATCAACGAGTTTGATTTACATCCATTTTTATTTCCTGTCATGGTTCCTGAGCACTTTTACCACCTCTTCGATTCTTCTTGCGAAATTTAATTCAGGTACAAGTGATGCTGCTGAAAATTGTTTGTATAGCTATTAGAGGTAAGAATCACCAGTAGCCCCACAATGTGATATTATCACAATACTTAGGCCACGATACGATATTATCATGATACTTGGGCCACGACACGATATTATCACGATACTTAGGCCCACAATACGATATTATCACAATACTTGGGCCATGATACAATATTATTGTGATTTTTAACATTTTGTAATACTGTGAGTATTGTGATACAATATATTGCAATTTATACAATTTTTTAAAACTCTATCTAATTTAGCATTTGTCTTTCCTTTATGTTTGTCTTATTTACACAGTATTTTATTTTCATGTAGCTCATCTTGCAAACCTTATATATATATATATTTGTTGTTCTAACTTTCTCCTGCTCTATGATGTCGCCTCTTCCAACCTCACTGGACAAACAGTTGATTTTATTTTTCCATTATCACTGATTTGACTTCATATTAACATTTAATTTGAAAAAATCAATACTTGGTAATTGAGACGATACAATATATCACAGGTCATAATATCGCGATTCTATGCTGTATCAATATTTGGCCAAGAGGAAGCCAGACAATGCACCTGACCCTCAGGGATAATGTGCAGTGAACAGGTGGCTATGCACATTAGAATCCATATAAGGTGAGCAGGACTTGGTATAAAATTGTAACAGTGTAACTTTGTTTTGACCAATCAGAATCCAGTATTTTACAGGTAGAAATACACTATATGGCTCAGTCTGTTTCCAGTCTAAGATCTTTTCAGCATACAGTGCCGAGCGAGTTCTTTAGTTCGTTAAAATGATGATCACAACTTAAATTTTGACTCGCACAGGTGTGTGACGTCACCTAATGTAAGTTTATTGTAATGCTGTGCTGTAGTCCTATTGAGAGAAGCTCTAGTGCGACAACAATAACCCGCTGGAGCTCGTCTCTCAGCCTCCTGTCACCTATTATGTCTCCCATTATGATTCCTGATGTTTCCAGTACAAAGAAAGCTTTTAACCGCCCACACGCACACGTTCAGGCGTATACCCATAAACACACACAAAAATAGCACATCTGACTTAACCTCAACCAAATTATTATGTAAGCTCAATCTCTGCGAGACCTTGTGATTGCTCTGGTAATTGTGAAGTTATACTTTTTCTTTCCTTTTGTGTTCTGTCTCCCACAGCGAAAATCTCTCCCTTCAGAGAGAATATTCCTGCTTTTCTTTTGGCTTTTCAATCACAGAGTCCATTCTTGATTTTGTGCCTTAGTGATGCTAAACAAAAAGACAAAAAAAACACCTCCACCATAACCACGTGGGATATCTTCAGACTGAGGGGGCTCTCCAACACATTCTTTCCACTCGTTCACAGTTTCTAAAGACTTTTGAACTTTTGTGCTTGAAAATCAAACTGATGTGCTTTGAAGCTCTGGTTTAATCAAACTGCGGGTATCAGTATTATTCTCTATTTATGTTTTATTTTGCACTTCCTCTTTCAAGTTTTGTCCAATTATCATCACTAACAATTCCGCTATTTTGAACTTCCTATCAGGAATTTTTTTACTGTTTCTCCAACCACTTAAACAGAATAGTAATGCAAACCCCACATACGGTATGTGACAGAGTTTGTTTTAGCTTTGTTATCTTCTGTGTCTGCTCTGGAAACAGTCCACTGACTCACAACAGGACTATGATGTTGTACCGCTGGAAATAGAATTTTCTAAGGAATTACATGAACCATTCTTTAGTATTTGGCATGTGCTGTGATGGACAAAAAAGCAGGAAGTAGGTCTTGATAATATAAACAGCAAAGAAGTAAAGAGGGACATAACGAATAAGTCAGAAAATATCTGAATTGTTTTGTTTTTGTATTCAGAAAGTTCCTCACAGTGAGGAATGTCCCCTGCTTTCCATCGCAGACTCAGAGTTTCACTTTTTCTCTCTGTATGAATGCAGGTTTTCCCCGGGTGTGGCCAGTGATCCAGCTCCCTCCTCGGGCACCATCAAGAGACGCACACAGTCCCTCAGCGCCCTTCCCAAAGATGGAGACAGAAAGGTCAGTCCGCTGTGCAGAATCAGTGTGGGAAATGAAACTTAAAATGAAGAAGTTTGAACTGTATGTCCTTTTCCAATCAGAGGGAGAAAGACCACATCCGCCGTCCCATGAACGCATTCATGATCTTCAGCAAACGCCATCGGGCCCTGGTGCACCAGCGACATCCCAACCAGGACAATCGAACAGTCAGCAAGATCCTGGGGGAGTGGTGGTACGCTCTGGGGCCCAATGAGAAGCAACAGTACCACGATCTGGCTTTTCAGGTAGAAACACTCTCCATCTGTCTGTAATATAAAAACGTTTTTCATCAATTCATTCAATTAACGTGGTTTCCTTCTTGTAACTATAATTCAAGAAGTTTCTTTTTACTCCAGAGTTTTTAATTTGAAGTCTCCAGACTTCAAGTTGCACCGACAGCATAAACAACTTCAACTGATTTAGGTGTTTAGTTAGACTCTCCTCCTCCTCTTCCTCCTGCTCCTCCAGGTGAAAGAAGCCCACTTCAGAGCCCATCCAGACTGGAAGTGGTGCAACAAGGACCGTCGAAAGTCGCTGTCAGAGGGTCGCGGGACGCCGAAAGAGCAACGAGAGAGGAGCATGTCGGAGAGCATAGGTGTGTGCTGCTCTGCTCTCAAAGGCAGACACAAAACTTTCAGAAACTTGTAGAAAAAATCTGTTAAATTATGTAGAAAATTCTGAGTCGTGTAAATTGTTTGTTGCAGGTATTTTACTTTTATATCTGTGTGACCTTACCTTTACTGATTTAAAGTTTCAGTGATCGATTCCATGAAGCAGGAAGTGACATTTCTGTTTATTTTTCTCTCCTCCAGATCCTCATTCAGAGTCTCAGGTGCTGGAGGGGAAAGTCGGCGGCTCGGCCTGGCCGGGAGGATCAGAGCGTCGAGGGGGGCTGTTTGTGGGGCAGCACCCCCGTCCCCGAGCTTTTTCCCAGAGTGCCGTGCACACCCTGGAGCAGAGGGAGAGGGAGAGAGACCTGGAGAAGGTATGAGGTTGTTAATCCGTAGCTCAAAGGCAGAGAACGGACTCTCGAGATTTAAGGGGGGAAAAAAAACTGCTTTAGATCACTTGCAAGTTTAATCTCGGAGCTTAAGTCACGTGCTCTCGGTCTTGTCAAGAGTATTACAAAAGCACCTTTAACAAGTCTGTTGCATCTCAGAGAACAAAGTAAAAGTGCAGAAAATAAGGCAGCAGACGAACACAGGGTGATGTTTGTGAGTTTTTGAGCACCTACGAAGGAACAAACCCGAGTCTTCGCATTGCGGAACATTGGGCTGAACTCTTCAACTGAAGGCATGCTGTTGAAAAACAGTTCAAATGGACCCTCTTTGTTCTTTGTGTGAGGGCTCGGGTTGTTGCTGCTGAAAAACCCACCGAAAGCTCTGGGAGAGCTCAGCCTCCAACTTCAAAGGTTTCACTTTCTACTTTTTTTGGTGCCTTTGAAGGTGCGAGACTGGTGTTTGCTGCTCCGCTCCTAATCACAGAGGGATAGGTCTGCATGTGAGCACTCTTGTTTCAAAGCCATTAAAGCGATGTTGGGTGTGAATGCGTGCTTGAAAAAAAAAACATTATGTCTGTTTGAAGTCTCATTCTCGAGTTCAGGTTTTATTTTTCGGTAGTTTTGAGCTTATTATCCGTGTCCTTCCTAAAACCGTCCGCAACAACCGTCTGATTTTGTTCAGAAGTCGTGAACAAAACTAATTTTTAATCTCTTTCAGGAGGACGGGGCCAGTCTATTCCGCCCCCGACCCCTGCCTCAGTCCCTCTACCAGGGCGGGGCGAGCGAAGACGTGACCAGCGACGAGGAGCGCATGGTCATCTGCGAGGAAGAGGGGGACGATGATGTCATGGGTGAGTTAGATGAACAGCAGCATAGCGGTGTAGTGGTTGTTAAACAGACTGTTGCATAACCACAAGGTCATGGTTTCACTTCCCATAACAATCAGTGTGTCTTTAAAAAGCTTCGGCCTTCGTAGTCGAAATGGCAATGTCAGCAAAAACACGAGCTGAACGAAGTAAAAAAAAAAAAAAAAAAAGATGCTGCGTCATCGTCTGAGCTGCAGCTCTGGACTGTTAATTACTAGTGTTAAAATATAGCAGTGACAAAGACACACATTTGGGTTTGGTGGTGGTGAGATAGATCCATCAGTGCTTCTCCTAAATAGAAGTGAAATCACAATCAGGGAGCAAAGTTTAAATGCTAACGTTTGATATCCATGTCTCACCTTTAGAGGATTCCTGTCCCGAAGGCTCCATTGACCTCAAGTGTAAAGAGAGAGTAACAGACAGTGACGAGGACGAACCAGATGGACAGGTAGCTGCACTGATCTTCCACTGACTTGGGCCGCTGAGATGAATTCTTTCTTTCCTGACTGTGAAAACCTCAATATGAGAGCGGGAGCTGTTTGGCGTACCATGACATCACAGATAATCAAGTAAACTTTACAATTCATAACTTCCAGGAATCAAGTATTGGTCACAGGAATAGCTGACGGTGACGAGAAGAGTATTACAAAAGCAAATACCACGAGTGGCCAGTGGGCAACATTTTATGTGAGGCTAATTTTAGTCGCAGTTTTCTGGTCTTCATCACAGCCTGTCTTTCTTTCACTTTGAAGCCTGTATCGGTGGATTATCGGTCTCACAGCGTGTGATCGTACATGGCTGAAGCAGAACAGAAGGATGAGAGACATGATGCTGTTTCAGCCTCTGTTACTCTACCTCCAACGCCAGCTCAACATGTCTGTGACATTTACATTGACAGCCAGCCATAACGCAGGCATTAACAGCACTGTCTTAAAGGGAGCTGGAAATAAACTCACTCTTAATTATGATAGTCATCTCGGTCTTCGCTCGCTGTGAATGAGCGGAGTCTTACTGAGGCTGGATTTTCACTGTCGAGTCCCGGAAAGTTAAACTTCATTCTGCATATTAAAGTATCATATCATTAATAGAATCTTTTTTTCTTTCTGAATTAATTTCCCCGTCAAACTTTAAAAACCCAAAGAGTTACTATAAGTTAAGAGACTTGTGTGTTCACAGAGATGAGAGGAACTTTGCATAGTAACTTTCTCACTTTGATCTCTCTCTTCCTCCGTCTCTCTCTTCCCTGCAGCATGGCTTCCAGCCAGTGGCTCGCTCCTCCCGCCCCTCTTCCTCACCCTCCATCCCTCACTCTGACTCCACCTCATCTAAAGGGAACAGCGGAGGGGGAGGAGGAGGAGGCGGCGGAGGAGGAAGTGGTGGTGGTGGCGAGGAGGGATCTGAGAGGAACAAAAAGAGAGGTACAGACGGAGGAGAGGAGGGGAGTGATGGAGGATCACAGCGAGAGGAGACGGCAGCAGGTGGAGGAGATGGAGGTGGGGAAAGTGGGCAGGGTGTTTCCTCTCTGTCCGTCACAGGCTCCACGTCCAGCACCCAGGCTCCCCTCACTTTGGCCCAGCAGGGTTTGACGCAGGTCCTCGGCAACGTTCGCATGGCCCCCACAATGGTGACCAATGTGGTACGACCCATCGCCAGCACACCCATCCCCATCGCCAGCAAGGCAGTGGAAGCGGCCGCCCCCCTCAGCTCTCTGCCCCAGGACAAGAAAACTACTCTTCTGATTGGTGGAGGTGGACCTCAGCAGCTGCCAATCTCTGCAGGGGGTGGGTACCTATCCTCATCCTCCCCTCCTGGTCCAGCCAGTGTACCCCCTTTGGGCAGCAGCAGCAGCCTGGTCACTAGTCTAGTTCTGGGTGGGTCCTTTCCTGCCGCCCAACCCGTGCAGCTTCTCACCCCGCAGCCCCCGCAGCCGCACGCACAACCCCCACTTCCTGTTCTCCACCCTACTGCTGCCACCTCCTCTCACACAGCTCCCGCCAGCCTCAAGCCACTAGCTCAGGTCCAGTACATCCTGCCAACCGAGAGCCCCTCCTCCCCTCAACTCACCCACCAGCAAATTCTCTCCCTGCCCACCAATACCGCCCTGACGAATGGCGTGCACTCTGGGGCGGGGATCAGAGTGGCGTCAGTCAGCCCCGGGACCAGAGGTGAGACAGAGAGCAACAATTGGCCTCTATCTAAAAAAAGTGAGAAGAGTTTCATCTCAATGTTTCGCTGCCCCTCTGAAAACTTAAAGGTGTTTGTATATTTCTTGGATTATGTTTTTGTTGTAGTTCCGTTTTCTTATTAATCATCTCCACAGGAAGCTCTGAAAATAGATTTGATTGGCTTACATAATGGAGGGAAAATGATTGACAGGAGAAACACTGTTGACATGAGTATGAGCGCCTGCCTGCCGCCCACCCATGCCTTAATCACTCTCTATTCATAAGAGTCAGAAGCAGCCGAACATTGTTCTAGCCTGTTATCAGAGAGGAATTTCACTATTATGAGTATCTGAAATGTCCTCTCCGTCTCAGTGTGTCTCCGCCCACCCGTCGCTCCTGAGCTTGTCCTCACCTCTCTGCTTTTGGCTCGATTCATGTGTTTCTCCAACTGAGTGGTTTTAATTCCACCTCTCTCTCTCTCTCTCTCTCTCTCTCTCTCTCTCTCTCTCTGTCTGTCTGTCTTTCTTTCTCACTCATTAGTCCAAACACAGTCGCCCGTCTTGCAGAGCAAGATGTTGGTTCCCATGGCAACAGTCAGAACAGGGTCTACTCCTCCTCATCCTTCCATTTCCCTGGTCGCTCCGCCTCTTCCTGTGCAGAACGGCCCCTCGACAGGAAACAAGGTAACTAACAAGTGTCAGCAGTTCAGAGATAAATAGACGCCGCTCTGTTTGCTGACAGGCGACAAGGTAGTTAAACCCTAAACATCAGAGGAGACAGAGACGACTCGTGTTCTTGAAAAGTACAGAGTGGATTACAGACGGTTAGGTAAGGGTTAGAAAGTTGCTTCATGCTCATGTGATGCATATTTTCTAAAAACCAACAAGAGTTTTCACTGAAGTCATTACTGGAGAAAAATGAGGTTATATTTGCTGGTTTTAGCTTTAGAAGTACCGTGATTTTCTGCCTCTTTCTCTGTGATATCACCAGAACTGAATCATTTTAGGGACTGGGTTGTCTGGTCTGAGCTTTTTTAACCATCGTAGAACTCCTTTGACAAGTATCAGGCAGACATTTTTAACATTTTACAGTTCATGAAACATAGACCTAGTCTCAGTGGAAAGATTGTTGGTTTCTGTTGTGCAGTTATGAGGCTTATAAACAGAAGTTGCTGTAATAGAAATGCTAACTTAACCTGACATAAACAGAGTCGAGGCAGACCTTAATCTCACGCTAACAGCTGCAGTGGAGAAGTGGACTGTTTATTTAATCATTCAGAACTTGTATCTAATGAGTTATAATGAGGTATTAAAAAAACTCAACCCTGGTTCAGTGAATGAGGATAAAGAAAGGAGCTATTCAGACCAAGACCAGCTGCAGACATATTCATGTTTGCTCCAATAATGGGACTTGGAGAGTGGAAAAGTTTGTGGCTTCTGGGCTTTTGTAGTCATCTATAGACTGGCTTAGTTTTTAAAGACTGTGAGTAATAACCTCTTCTGAAACCAATGAGTTACAGTATAGAGATGACATTAGTTTCTACAGTTTATGATTCCCTGAGAATGGTCATTATTGAAGGCATTAGCTGTTGGTTTAAATAAAAAGTATTTAAGGTCTTCGCCTTGGACTCCAGGATCTTTAAATTAGCTCATTGAACATTTTAAGGATTAGAATTTCAAAGTAAAACATTTCTAGATTAACAATTTACATTAAGAATGACTTAATTTTCTCTCTCTGGCATTTTAACTTGAAATTTAGTGAGAAATTTGATGTGGAGAGTGAAAGTTTGAGACTGCAGTGACGCAGAAGGGACTGTTTATTCAAACAAAGTGCTGGAGTTATTCAGAGAACCATGAAACCATATTTGATATTTATAAGCTTGTCTCACACGAAACATAACAGATAAATGTTTAATTGTCAGATGCGTGTTTGCTGAAAAAAGCCGGGCTGCTCTGTGTCTATTTTCAGAGTCGGTGAGATTATTCTTTTGTTTTTATGTTTCTCTTTTTTTCCCTTGAAGATCATCCAGATCGCTCCCATGCCTGTGGTCCAGACCAACGTTCACCCTAGCGCTGCAGCAGCAGTGCATCCTGGGAGCCCTTTTCCTGTTTCTGTGGCAACGGTGATGGCTCCTGGTGCCGCGCCTCCACAGACCGTTCTCCTGACCTCTCCACCCACCAGGTCACTCACACAGGCCGAACACCTGAAAGACAACAGCATGTTCCCGCTTTTTATTTTCCTCCACCAGCTGGTCGGAGATCTCGCTGAGATACTGCAGTTCAGCAGCGTTTCTAAAGCTGTCAGGCTTTGACTTTGACCGGTTACATTGATCGGTGTATAAAAATAATCCGTACATCCCTTGGAGTGGTTTAAAATGCAGATTAATATATTCCTGTTTGACTGGAATAAATTATGAAGTTGTCTCTAAATCATAAACGTGTTATTAAAACTGTTGTTGATAATGAAATGATGGATTAATGCTCCTCACTTCTTTGCATGTCTGTGAAAACAAAAGTGAAGCAGTTTGTTTGCAGTTTGTGTCCGTGCCAATAACTACACACGGTGATGTTAGCTTTCCTCTTCATGTTTTGATTTGTAATATTTTGTTTTGACTCTCCACACTCTTTTGTTTAGGATCACTTATGTCCAATCTGGTCCAGGAGTTTCAACGGCGACGCCCCAGCAGGCCACGCCCACCCAAGGCCCGGCGTATCTCCAATCATCTCTGACAACTCTCGGCTTCGCTGCAGTCGCCCCTGCCGGGCAGACCCTGGTTCAGCCAATCGTTGGTCAGCCACCCCTTTTAGCTCCAGCCCCGCCCCTGAGCTGTCAATCACAGACCCCCCCAGGTCAGGCCTCAGGGACTTCTGTGCGTCAGGTAAATAAAACCCTGTAAACGTTGGCACCAAAGACTGCTGAAGTTGTTTGGTCATGAGGAAAATTAAAAACTTGAATGTCAAAAGAAGTCAAAAGCTTTGAATAGGAGGCGCATTTAAGAGACGTCTGGCTTTTCATCCGCTTCAAAAGGTCATTGATAGACATGTGAAGGTCGCTGAAGTCCAAGCAGTTTATTAATTTATGAATCTTTTCATTTATAAGTTTTACTTTTTAGTTTTTTTCACTGAAGTTTTTAATTTTTTTTAATTTCACAAAAAGTCTGTCATTTTTTATTATGGCGCATGAATTCATTAAACTTCATCAAAAGTTTCTGGTGTTTGAAAAGGCTGGAGCTCGTGCAGTCGAAGAGGCGGAGGGCTCAATGGTGCCTGATGCGGCGTTCTGGCATCAATAAATCATTAGTACATTTGTTTTGAAGGAAATTTCTGTAAACAAACATGGAAAGTATTGAGCCTCTGTAATTTACATTTCGTGGTACAGTCCTTTAGAAAAACTGAAGCCAGTTTTCATTTGAGGAAAAATGATAAACACCATTTAACTTTGACTTGTCTCTGCCTCGGCTCAGAATCTCTCCTCTTTTCCAAAAATCCGTTCACACCTCTCATCCGTCTTTTTTTCACTTCTGTCTCCCACATACTACACCTTTCTCATTTCCTCACTTTCTTCTCCATCAGGTACTTACTGCCATCTACCCTGCACCAACCATTGCACTGCCTACTGGTGTGGTCTCCGTGACAACCGTGCCACCTGCAGTGGCCGCCCCAGCCCAGGACCTGATGAAACCCTCCTCTCCGTTGGCAACAGGGGTGGAGGGTTCACCGGTGGCAACCCCTCAGCCAAAAATGGCGATGGAGCTGGAGCCGAAGGTGGAGGTGAAGAAGGAAATCCAGACTGATGGTCTAACGGAGGACACGGGAAGAGGGTTTTCGAGCTGTGCTGCTGGTTCCTTATTGGCCGCCTGTATGAGCGCTGCAGCAGGTAAAGCTCCTCTGGGTCTCTGATAGAGGTTTAACTTTCTGTGTCGGTTTCTCTGCTGGAAAGCGGGCAACCTTTTGACCCAAATCCAAACTAAATAATGACACCACTATAGACCGATCCGATGTATTTCTATCTCTGGCGCTCTTTTGTAGGCGTGCACTTTAAATTTGTTGCAGAACCAAAAGACACTTTACAAATCGTGTATCTTTTTTCTTAACATGAAGGACATTTATCCGTCCGCTTTGATTCTCTTTGTTTTCAGAGGATTAAAAAGATTTTTTAAAGTAAAATGTGCACTTCTTTAAAGACGGGTTTTATGCTCTTTTCAAGCGTCATATTGTCCTGCTGATAGTTTTGTTAGTAGTCTATTTAATACGAAGCATTTCTCTGTTCAGAATGAGGAAATATGAAATATCGTCGTCTGTTTCGGACTCCAGATCTGACCTGGGAAGTTTGGAAATGAACATAAAAGCTGAGTGGTGAAGTTAGTATTTTAGTGAATCTTGTACCGAGTCTGTTCAGGACAGCTCTGCAATCTCATCCAAGGATTTCTTCCACATGTGTTCAAGAAGAAGGGAAATTCAAAAGCCTCAAAATTCGATATCAAACTCTTAAAGTTACAGAAATATTTGTTTGTTCAAGATGAAAAAAAACCAACAACTCAAAAGTTTAGAAAAAGTGAGAAAGGTCACAGAGTTTCTTTTTGAATCAAAGCTTGAAAACCGTCTTTTCATCTCTTACAGTGAAAAAAGAGGATGACATCTGTTTGCGGATCAAAGAGGAAAATCTGAGAGATGGACACAGCCGAGAGACGCTGAGCATGATGGACAAAGAGCGAGAGAGGGGGATGAAGGAGAACAGCGAAAAGAAGGGAGACTCGGAGACGGACAAAGAGGACATCAGCAGGAGAGACAGCAGCAAAGAGGTGAGAAAAGACGTCCCTGTCACACTCATTTCTGATCAAACCTCAAGTTTACTGAAGCTTTGCTCGAGGAGCTTTCAAGGCCAGACAAAGAATTTTTACTTTTTCAAAGTTCAGGGAAAAACAAATTCTCCACTTTAGAAAAATATTTTAGAGGGATTCTTTTTTACTGTCATGAGTTTAATTTTTGCATTTTATCAGCAGTTTTTTACCAACGTTATTTTAAACCCTATAATATTAATCTGAAAAGGAGACGAGAGAGAAACTCACATCCACCCGTATGTTTAAAAAAGCCGGAGGAAGAAAATATGCTTCATACTCACAGTAAAGAGAGTCATGATAAAGTTCAAGACTGATCTGACACAGACCCGCAGGCGTGAGCGCATCATCCCCATCCTGGCGTCCTTACACTGGCTCCCAGTTCAGTACAGAATTCATTTTAAGCTTGTAATATTTGTTTTTAAAGGCCTGAACAATCTTGCTCCACCTTACATTTCCGAGATGCTCCAGCCTTACTGCCCACCCCGACCCCTAAGATCAGCTGATTAGCTGTTATTGACGGTCCCCAATACAAGGCTGAAGCTCAGGGGTGACAGAGCGTTTGCTGCAGCTGCTCCCGAGCTCTGGAACGAGTTGCCCTTGACAATTAGACAGGCCTTGTCATTTCCTGTTTTTAAATCCCTTTTAAAAACGCTCTTTTATTCCTTTATTATTTATTCCTATATTTTCATCTTAGCACTTGCCGTGAGCCTGCTTATTTATATATTCATCTATTTATTGCATTTATGTATTTTTGCTCGCTCTGTCTCGTTCTTTGCTTGTTTTATTTGTTTTTATGTCACATTGTACAGCACTTTGGCTACCCCTGTGGTTCTTTTAAATGTGCTATAGAAATAAAGTTGATTGATTGATTGATCTCATCCCTCTCCCGTCAGGCCGGACCTCGTTCCACTCCTCCAGCAACCTCAGGTTTGGACCCTCCCCCTCCCCCCCTGGAAAGAGAGCCTCCCTCTTCCTCAAAGAAGATCAAGTTCAGACCCCCACCACTCAAGAAGACACCCGATTCTCTCGACAAGTAAGAATCAAACTGTCACCTCAAGCTCATCTCTTTTATCGATTCTGGTATTTTGTGACTTCTGAATCGAAATGAACTTTCAGTGTGAAAAGAAATTGGTTGATACTTAAAGCGGACTGTGAGACCTCTAGTGTTTTGTTATAATTTAATCCCTGTCTTGTCTTTAACTGTGAGGAAAGCTTTGTATTTAAGTCCAGAGCCTCTCTCAGTGATCAGACTTTAGTTATCTTCTTTGTAGAATCAGTGCCAAACTCAAACAAAACAAGTCTGCCGCATCCTTCTGTCTTTTTGGTCAATCTCAGACAATGTTCTCTGAATTTTAACAGTTTACATTTTCTCAAGCTGAGAGGGCTCATATAACACTATCTTGTCTTCTGTCATTACGGCACCGAGCAGCTTGAAGACGAGATGCAAAAATCTGGAAAGGACTCCGTTTGTTGACTTTGTTTAACACTGATTTTCACACATTAGTGTCATCAAGCTCCAATTTTAGTTTTCGACCAAACCTCCAACTTTGTGAAATTATGTAGAAGCTCTTTGTGTGCTGGGTGTGAGTGGGTGGAGAGCTCACCCTTTATATTCTTTATTTAGACGGAGGCAGAGTGGTGCTGAGGTCACAGGGAAGAGAAAGCCTCGGCAGCTCTCAGCCCTCAGGCATGAGAGAGAGGTTTCAATTCAGAGGACATCCCTAGATATTGTTTCCAACAGATTACTGGGCAGGGGATCGACATGACCGCTGTGTTCTCTGTGTGCAGGGTCCTGTCTGAGACGTACTTCGAGGAGCGCTTTGCTGAGCTTCCAGAGTTTAACCCTGAGGAGGTCCTTCCTTCGCCCACTCTGCAGAGTCTGGCCACCTCACCTCGAGCCATCCTGGGAAGCTACCGCAGGAAGAGACGTAACTCTACCGGTGAGAGAGAGGCAGAGAGAGACTCACAGAGTTAGATCAAGCAAAATACCTGCAGTGATACAGAACAAACGCAGGAATAGAACCCTGTTTGGATCAAACCTGCACCGCCGAGGGGCTTTGTCTAATTTAGAAACTGCTGACCTCAAGTGGGACACATCTGCAGGGAAGTTTTCTGTCATTCTCCCCCAGAAATGATGAGAAGGGCCTTTGTCTTACTAGTTTATTCCCATTCATATAAACATGTTTGAAAAACTTCCATTAGGAAGATCGACTGTTGCTCAAGATTTTGCTCCTCAGTAGGGCTGGGAGATATGGACCAAAAGTCATATCCCGATATATTTAGGCTGAATATCGATATACGATATATATCCCGATATTGTTATTTTAAAGTGAGAGCAAATATGACATGTCACAAGTAGTTCTATTTAAACTGAAATTATAATCAGCTGTTCAAAGAACAATGAAATGGAAGGTTGAAATGCATTCACGCTCCTCCCGGCTCTAAGGGTAGAAATACCTACATGCACACGGCTTTCCGAGTCGAGATGAGCAGCCGCGCTCCCGGCTTCGAAGGTTGAAATGCGTTCATGCTGTCCCGGTTTAAATGGGTTAAAGATTTTGTGTGAGAAACACCAGCCTGTCAACAACAGCATCTGATATCTGTATATCTATATATGCGATATGGTCCAGTTCCATATCTCATTTAAAAATGTATCGATATATTTTTTATACGGATATATCGCCCAGTCCTACTCCTCAGGTGGGTTTGAGTTTGCTCGCTCTGCCATCGATCTCACACTGTTAAGTAAGACCAGACTCCAGAATGCTGTCAGTGGTCCATTAATTACCAACACAGATCTGGAAACAGGCACAAAAAACTGAAACCTTGCTTCGTAGTATGGCTGGTTTACACATCATTTATGCGTAACAGTATACAGGTTTTGGAGTAGTGTATGCTCACATCCAGACACCCTTTTTTAGGTCAGACTTTGACCGCTTTTTCACCACAGCACTGTAGTAGAAGAGTCCGGGTGCTAGACTGTCCTGTGTGTGGTCCAGAATCGTCCCCCACTGGAAACATTTGGCAGGTCATGACCTGAAAAACACGACAAAGGAGACTCTGAGCTGTTGAGCGGCTGAAATCCTTTATTGATTTTACTTTCTGCGCTTCAGGAACTAGTTTTAATTTCCAAACATTGAGAGAGTTCAGTTAAACAAAGAGGTGATGTAACACAAAGGTCAACATGCCCCTGTCCCAACTTTTTTACTCAGTTTCAGCGTCCAGTTTGTTGTCTTGGTACTACATTTGAATAAATATTTAACTTTAATAATTTACAAACAATTAGATTCTGTCTTTATTATCATTTGGAATCAAACATCCTTCCCTTCTGTTTTATCCTATCACCTTCTTCTATTCTCTTCTTTTCATAACCTCTTGTGAAATATTTCTTCTTTCTTATCGTATTTCTTTTCCTACTTCTCTTCCTGTTGTGTATCTAGAGCTGGAGCCAACAGCAGAAGAGCCCAGCTCTCCAAGGAGGAAGACTCGGCGCCTCTCCAGCTGCAGCTCGGAGCCCAACACCCCCAAGAGTGCAGCCAAGTGTGAGGGAGAGATCTTCACCTTCGACAGAGCAGGTCAGACGGCTACACCAGGTATAATAGCTGCAGGACTGCTCCAAAATCTGTACCAATATCAGTCTGACGTTCTCTTTTTTAAAAACCAGGTACAGAAGGAGAGGAAATTCTTGGAGAAATCGACCGAGCCCCCTATTCTTCCCTGCGTAGAACTCTGGATCAGCGCCGTGCCCTGGTCATGCAGCTGTTTCAGGAACACGGCTTCTTTCCTTCAGGTAGACCACCAGTGGACAGGATATGATCATAGACTGTATATAGAATGGACGCCGTCTGCCTCCTCGCTGGGTGAAGCCACTCCGAGAACAGCACCCTCTGTTGGCGGGCTGCAGTATAGGTCATAAATCCGCCAGCAAAGCTTTGGGGCTGTGTCCCCTCTGCTTGTGATGTTGACATGTAGTTACTGTCAGACTGGTTTGTGCTCAAGTCCTCGTTTTTAAAAGTTATTAGGGGGTTCATGTTTTCTATGATTGACACCTAATACAGCCTATGGGTGTACGAAGATTGCGTAGCTCACTCGGGGGATATTCTGTTTGAGCCGAGCGTCATCACAGTGACTCTCCCGCCGAATGCGTACAACGCTACTGCACAATTTTGGTTTCAGGAAATGGAGAGAAAACGCGGAATTACTCAGAGCTTTTCGGCTTCAAATCCGTACACTGGCAGGAGGCGGAACCAAGTTGTCTGTAGTATATACAGTCTATGGATATGATGAAATACATTTTAAATGTTTAATTCTACTTAAGCGAGAGAAAACCAAACCACAGTGTGCCTGAGGTAAAGTGTCTCACATGATGACACCTGTACTTGTCTATGAGCTGTTATAATCAGAGCTGTACCTTCTGGACTCAATGCAGTTTTGAACCCCTTGTATTTTCTGGACTACAAGACACACGAGACAAGACTACAGCCCGGTTTCTCTAGGGTGTCCAGGAGATAAAGGTTTAAACGGCCTCCTGTGTGAAGACTTCATCTTTAGGTTTCAGTGAAGCTCCAGCTGATACCTTTTCTAATTTGCGCTCCTCTCACGCTTCACTTTTCCGTCTTTTTTCTCTCCTTCCAGCTCAGGCCACTGCTGCCTTCCAGGCACGCTACTCGGACACCTTCCCCACCAAGGTGTGTCTGCAACTAAAGATCCGCGAGGTGCGCCAGAAGATCATGCAGACAGCCACGCCAGGAACCCTTGAGCTCGGAGGGTCAGCCGAAACCAGCCCCGCCCCGTCCCACAGCTCCTCTTTCAATCAATCATCTCGGGAGGAAGGAGGGGCGGAGCAGCCAGGAGACAAAGGCCGGGGCCCCGAGGAGCCAAAAAGTGAAGGATCATAAGCAGGAGTGGATGAAAAAACAGGAAAATCAAGGAGAAGAAGAAGAAAGAGTGGGAGGAGTGTCGCCCCGCAGAATGTTCTTGTATGTGTTGCACCAGTACTCCAGCGGGACCTGATCCACCGGCACTAAATCTTCACCAGACCTGGGCAAAAAAAACAGACAAACAAAAACATTTGAATACAGTCACAAATATTCAAACCACTCAAGGTGCGCTTGATTTGTCGAATCAAAAAAACGGAGCCTCAAAAGTGGATGAATAACATGCAAGTCTTGATGGGTCAAGATCCCCTTTGAGTTTTTCTTTTTCTTTTTTCCAGTTATCAAGAATATTTGCAGTTCAAGCTTTGCCCAGGTCTGCTCTCAGCACATTTGTACAGTAGTTTGTAGTTTGACACACAAACTCTGTGGTACATACTCTATCTCCAGCACACACACGCACACACACATATACACACAAACACTGGTGCATATGTAATCTCCAGCATTCACATGATCCCTCACAAACACATATGCACACACACACACACGTACACCCTTACCAAATCAGACTGTTACTCTTGGTTGGCAGTCTTCAGGGGCCGCCACCAAGGACCATGACACACAAAGGCACTTTGTCACTTATTGTGCAGATGCAGTTTGCTGTTGCCAGCCAGCCAGCCAGCCCTCAGATGCCATTGACTTGACCTCCTCCTCGCCCCTCCACTCCTCAGCACAGTGGTCGGGACACAAACACAACCCCAACGACCTCCACTTATATTCCACAGCCCCTCGATGCTGCAAGACAGACAGCACACACACACAGACACACACACACACACACACACGCATATAAATATATGATGTACATTACACATTTACACACAAACATGGACACATCTGTGCAGTGTGAGCACTCGTACACAAACATAGTCAACCCTGGTCTGACCAAGCCATCGGCCTGCACAGTTTTTAGTGATTGTAGTGAGAAGAGAAGCTGAAAGCATGACACCTTTTCGCTCCTGGAAAACAGAACGGAAACAGGAGTTGGGATGTAGTGTGACCAATATTTGCACCTTCAGTTATTGCCATTTTGAAAGACTGAGTCCTTATTGGCGGGAGCTGATTATATATGTCTGTATGTCTGTTGGGGTGCCGTCCCCTAAACCTGTGTGAACAGGCTCCATAAAGAGATTATGTAAAGAGACTAATGGTTGTGAGGCTTTGAAGAATCAACGTGAAGTTCGACACTGACTGGCTCCCAACAGAGCAGAGGGAAAATGCAGAAGAAGAAGAAGAAGAGGAAACTGGATTAGGACAGAAGATACATATTCCAACCACAGGAAGACACATAATAATAGTGAATAAGGACAACAACAACAACAACAGAGCGAAAAAGTAGAATTTAACCAAACTTCTCTGAATCTCCCAGTGGATATAATGTTGCTTTCTCTCGTTATCGTTGCCGTGGAAATAACCAGTTTTACCGTGGCCTGTTTTTCTCTCGTGGCTCTATTGTGTTTCTTCTCCAGCGTAAAAAAAAATCACAACAAAAAAGAAAAAAACTTTGGACAAAGAAGGGGACAAATCAGTTGGTGGCAGCCCCTACTTTCAATCATACCTGGGGCGGTCCTCCACCTCCCCCTCTCCCCTTTCCTCTGCTACTATTTCTCACCAGACACAGAAGTGGGGGAGCAGGGGTGATTGTCGTTTTGTTAAAAACGCAGAAATCAGGTGTTTGCACAATTTGTGTGGCCCCTCTTGTCTGGGACCGCCGCAAGTTAAATCAGGAAAGTATTGTTTTTAGAGATTGTTTTAGTAGAAAAAATAAGAACCTTGTTCCGTATGTTATGAACCTCTTTCCCTCCTCTGTCCTCCTTTCTTCCCCCTCTCCCTTTTCCTCCTTTCCCCCTAAGTCCTATCCATCCTACCTTCCTTACCTCTGTTGGGTCACTGAGACCCCCCTCAAGTGTTGTTAGAAAGTGCCCTTAAGCACTGGTCCCGGGTCAAGCGCTATGTAGCTCAGGATGGCTCTGGTTAGGGTTAGTTCAGGGAAAGCAGATCCTAGACCAGCCCTGGAGGGCAGTCTCTGGAGCCCTCCCCTCTTCCCTCTCTTCTTGACACTTTATCCTTTCCCGTCAAATGGTGCAATAGGACATTTATTTTTTGGGAAGTGGGAGGGTTATTTTGTTTCTGGGGAAAGGCTCTGTGCCATAGATATTGCAGTTGGTCAGTGAGAGGAATGAGCTGTTGTGATATTATCTTTAACTAAGGTATAAAAACAATCACACGATTATTGTTCTTGTCGGAAAGATAGAGGGGTTAACTTACTAAAAGTCAAAGACAACTTTTGAATAGCACTTTTTGGCTCTTTGCTTCCTTGGTGAAGAGTGGGGGTAGTTATTATTATGGGTATCTCTTTTGTTTCTCTGTATACAGTTGGATGTGTGCAAAAATATATATACCGGTATTTCCATATTTGTGCATTTAGGTCTGTGTTTGGGTGTGTGTGAATGTTTTAGCACATGCAAGTAGTATGTGTACACAACCAACCTCTTGTTCTTTCTCCACACAGCAACATAATCAATAGTATATTTTTCATTGTATTCTACATTCTATATTCTACTCTAGAGACAGTATTTTTATAGTCACCATGACTATTTTGTCCACCATCTTGACTGTTATTGAACCCAGCTGATTCAGGATATATATGCGATATATATTCAGGATACATGATATATAAACATATATAAAGACACAGGTAATAGAAGACTATCAATTCACTTCTCTGGGGTTAGGGCTGTTAAGTGTACATCTGCATGCATGTGCAATCACATGCACACTTGCACACACACCCACACAGACATATGTGCATACACACACATGTATGCGTGTACACTGTATGATTGTGCTTAAAAATAAACTGTCCTTACTTTGGAGAAGGAATTTTAGGATGAGCGAGGTGAGTGTTATCTCATAAGCAGGCATGTTGACCATGTGCAATATTTCTAAACAACAACAAAAAACTAAATATTGAAAATATTAAAGATCTAACACAATGTTGTATGTGCTTGTATTTTTTCTTGTTGGTTTTTTGGCTTGAATGTTTCACTCAAGTATGCACGTAGAAGGGGTTAAATTGCTCTGATACTACACCCTGATTGCAATTGCTACCTAGACTTTTCCAAAATGGCAGTGGAGCAGAACAAATTTAACGGCAGACGAATGAACAGGATATACAGGTGCAGCCAAATCCCTGGAACAAACATGCAGTACATCTCTAGCTGGTCTTTGTAAGGCATATCAATGCTATCAGTGTTTATTGGATTAGTATTGCCTTTCATCTCAGGTCATGTTGGGTGAGAGTTGGGTTAAGGTAACGAGATCTGGTCATTGAGATTTTCATTTTGGTAAAAAAAAACTCTGTAGGAAGCTTGAGCTGACAGCCAGACTGCCGCCCACTCTGATCTGTATTATGTCACAGCTATTATGTTGAGTGGGGTTACAGAAAATGACTTGATTGAGAGAAACTCAGGAAACAATATCACAATGCAAAACCTTCAATGTGTCACTCATGGAAGTAAAAAAAATAACGTTAAGTTCATTTGTTCTATCCTCAAATAACATTTAAAATGACTAATCAAAAGACTATGCGCTAGCAACACAAACCTGTGATTAATAATTGGTCTATCTTTTGATTAAAGTTTTAAATTGACAGTAATACGCAGTGAAATTCTCTCTCTTTTGTGAAGAGGGGGGCGTGTAGCGAAGTCTACATAGTTTATCTTGTAATCTCACTTAGATAACATACAGTGTTACTCACTAATTGTTTGTCCTACATCTACAGTTAAATCGTTGTAAATTTGTAGTTTTTTTGACCAGTTGAGAACCAGGTAGCGAACCTAAGCAACATCTCTTCCGAACTTCATCTCCCATGTGGCATTGCGAGCGGTCTGTTTCTAGGTGTCTAGCAACAGCTACCAGCCCAGACAGCCGGCGGCAACGGGAGCGCTCTTTCTCGGTGTGTCTTTCCACGATTATTCGCTGCCGGGTGTTCAGAAATAAAAGTCAGTTGGCTGAAAATAGTGAAAAAACAACCCTGACCCCTGCACAGAGATATGAGCGGCAGCGGGCGGCCCAGGACCAGCTCGTTTGCTGAGCCGCCAGGTGTTCCAGGAACCGCTGCTGCGTCCACCGGATCAGCCGCTGCCGTGGGGAGCAGCACAGGAAAGTCCGGGGTCCCTCAGGCCTCCGGCAGCAGCTCGTCGGGATGCTCGAACCTAAAGCTCGCTAGTAAGTTCTTGTTAAATGCTAGTTATTTAAAGAGTCTACCCACCCCTTGAATATTGAGATGCACTTTACATTTGTGATATTAGTCAATGTTGAATGTCACAATCTTAAGAGAAGTCGTTATAGCTCCGGTAAAGTGCTAACTAGCATGCTAATCTGCTAGCGAGCTAACCAGCTAGCGCTAGCCACTTGTTTTGTATGTTACTTGTTCCCCGTCCGGCCGATAGATGTTTTCAGCCCTTCAGATGTCATACAAGCAGCCTGGAAACTTTGTGTATTACCCAGTTTCAAGCCAGTCATATTTTTGATCACTTTTATTTATTAATCTTAAATTATAAATCAAATATGTGTTTATTTTCCCTGTGGTCAGTGGGAGTGAGCAGGAAAACGGGCTCTGTTGTTCTTTGTGGTCAAGCAGGACTCATATAGACCAAAGCTTGATTGCAGCATTCACGGCTCTTTTTTGACTTCAGCTGTCAATCTGGCTCTCCTTAAAACGGATCAGGGTGCAAAGTTACCTTTTCACCAAGGTCACCTGTGGGGCAAAGGCTTAGCAGCAGGTGGCCGGCGCCTGGAGGATGCAAGTGGAGGATGCACATGCAGCACAAGAGTCCGGCTGTGTGCTGCAAGGTTATCTGTCATGGTTAGAAAGAAGTATAGAAACATTGACACTACGTTAAAACATGTTTATGACTGAGCCATGATCTGTTTGAGTTTGTGGTATACAACACTTTTTCTGGCCCTCTTTGACAAATAAAACAAAACAAAATGATAACTTCAAACTTTTGATAATCTTGAGCTGCAAGGATGCCAAGAAGTATTCTCCTTCATACTGGAAGGATTTCTCTTTGCGCTTTGCAACATAGCGGCAGGTGTAAGCAGAGATGTGCGTGCGTGCTGTTAATCCAAACCTTATCATCCATTAGCAGGCAGTGGTGTGTGACTTTGATATTAGAGCCCTGAGAGGAGGTCATCCTCAGTTCAAAGCTGTGTGACCCTTTGCTCCCTTCAAGCAGCAGCAGAGAAACACTGCCCCAGGCCTCTTAAAGCTTAAATGTTGCCTTCAGCTGGTAAAGATGCTCTTTTTGGATGATTGATGTATACAGTGCCAGGTTTGGGAGTCTTGGCGGCTGTTTCAAGAGGCCGGATTAACCCAGTTAGCCAGATATTTCCAAGAGAAAATGATGTGATTTGACACTTTGAATTACTGGTGAAATTAAACTTGGACATGGAGTATTAAGGATGTTGTGTTGCCATACCAACCAGTGGTCTGTCATTATGAACAACAGTGGAAAATATGTCATGCCTTTGAAGGCTCTCACCAGAATGAAACACTTTTTAGCCGCTCAGTATTTTAGTCCAGATAGCATCATCTCAGTAAACTTGTTAAACTAGGAGTTGTTTCACAGTGTTGACCTAAATGAAAGAATGGTAAAGTTCTTCTGCTAGTAATGTATTTGTTGCCTGTTTCCTAGTTGGTTCACAAACTATGAGGCTGGGATGGAAAGGATAAGAATTTGACACAAAGATGTACAAACATTAGAAACATTTCCAACACCAGACAGCAAATTCAGAGGCTTTCAATACACTTGTGATGTTCAAGAGAGTGCTCCATTCTGACAGTATTTAAACATGAGACCCTGTATCCTGAAGTTTGATGGTAACAATTCATATTCACTGTTTCATTTACTTCCTAACAGTTAAAGGTGGGGTAGGCAGGATCTGAGGAAGTTCCAGTTTTTAGGAGAAATCTTGAATGTAAACTCTACCCCTCCCAACCAGTTTTCCCCTCAGCTCCTCCTCTCCCCTCCGTCTCTGCTTCCAGTTAAATTCAGATATAATGCAGATAAATACTTCAGATAATTACAAATGGGGCCCAGTCAAGGTGAAAGTAAAAAGCATTGGTGCTACTGTAGATGCCAAGGGTCCGTAAGATCCCGAAGCATCCCCCAAATGCTGCATTGACGTTTACCCGTCTTTTTAGCTCATTTTAAGCGCCCATTATTCCGCCAGAGTCTCCGGTATTTACTTTGTTTTCTTGCTTGTGTCGGCAGTCATGGCCAAAGGAGGATTCAGACAATTTTCTGTACTTTCTGGTTGGTTTCTACTGTCTGATATCGTAGCACGCTAACTTTGTTTGGGCTCGTGAACATTATTCAAAGATGTGGAGCGTGCCTCAAAACACAAGGGAGCAGCGTCTGCCTCACAACCAATCAGGTCGGGGAGGTGGAGAATGGCTTTGTTTACAGTCAGAAAGAGCGGACATTCAAAATATTTTTAATGTTGACTACACAGACGTAACAGAACACAGCGATATCATTATATTCCCAAATGTCATCAATAACTAATAACTATTGACTGATAGCAAAAGCTTTTTTGTATAAACACCACAAAAAAAGATGCTTCTTTTAACGGATTCCTGCCTACCCCACCTTTAACATATGAGCGCCCTCCATTTTTAGGAGGTAGCCTTACATGCTGCTGACACATGAGGTGTTATTCATTTGGATCTGCCCCATTTTTAAAATACCTGAGGATTAATACCCCATTGAAGTGTCATATTGGTGCATTACCAGGTGGTATTAAGAGTCACACCCAAAGATTAGGCATCATTGAAGTGGTTACTCACATCCTAAAGAGGGACTGACAAGTCCAGACATGTTTTGTCGGTGATATCGAGAGGTAAAAGAGATGCCGGTGATCTAGAGAAGGTTCATTGAGCAGTTTCAGTGTGATTACGCCCTCGATGATAGAGCTCAATTCCTACTTTTTTCAGACATATTGGCCGAGAACAAATTCCCTTAGTGATATGTTTTTAGGAAACTTCAGCTGTGAAGTCACGAGACACTAACTACTATTGTGGCAAGTCTACAAACAGTGTATTGTGATACGTTGTCAAGACAAACACCCGTGAAAATATAATCAAGAGGATTTGAAAATAGAGTGCAGACGACTCCTCCACATCCCAGTCACACAGTTACTCTGCTGCTGTGACAGTGTCCAGCCTGTTGTTCTGTTATTCACTGTCTGTGCAGCAGATCCAGGATTTCTCCGTGGGTGACATCATCATCATCACAATTGTCTGTCTCTTCATCACCATTGTCCGAATTCACAAACTCATTTGAGCTCTAAAACAATCGAAGGGACTTTGTTTTTCAGGGCGGATTGTCCCTTTAACAGAACTTGTACAGTCCGTGACACCAAGGACAACCACGAGGGAAAAAGAGTAGTGGTGGTATCACAAGATGAGTGGATGTAAGTTTTATCGTAATCAGCTCTGAGTTCACCGAAACAAACAACCACAAAGATTTAGGAAGTGGACACGGGTGTGTTTTTGTGGCACACGGTCTGCATGAGTCCAATAAATCCAAAACAATCGAGACTTGATAGAAACCTCACACTCACACCACAGGCTCTCCCTATAGCGCAGATGGCCTGGTTAGATTTTAGGGAATCTTGCTGCATTAAACTGCATATTAATAAGGTAAACTTAGATCACTTGAAGCTACAGAGGAGTTCATCTGAGTACATGGAGGTTTTTGAGTATTAGGGCAAAACAGTAACCCAGAAAATCGTCTCGTTAATGCGGCAGCGCTCCAAATTTCCAGGACTCCTTTTGTTCTTTGAGTTGAGAACTCACAATGAACAGATACGTCGTTGAAGTTTGAAATATTACATGGTGTTTATGGGATTATTTCCTCCTGGAGACTTGAGTTTCCTTCTGCGATTGTGAGCTGAATGACAGGAAGCCGAGTGTGACACAGTTCACCGCTGAAAGGAAAACACAGACACAATGAAATGATGACAATACGGGCACACTGACACAGCCTGACTAATCCATCTTTTTTTATTTTGATGGATGGTTGACCTCAGGGAAGTGAAAAAATGAAAAACAGGTGCTCTGACATCTCTAGGTTTCCTCACACATCAGCAGTAAATATGAAATAGTCGCATTACAGACGAGTGACAAGAACCTGTCTCCTAACCGGCTGTCCTAGTTTTCACCTGGAGCTCCTGTACGCTGAGCGCCAGTGTGTGTCTGTGTGTATCCACTCCTGTTCGGATGGTGAACCCAGTGACCCGGTCACTCTGCAGGCCTCACGGTTTCAGCTGTAACGGATCCGACCAGCACGAATACAGAATGAGCAGCACCGTCAAACTTTTGTAAAGGCTGAGGACAGTTTAGTGTGTGTGTGCCTGAATATGAAGGTACCAGAAGACCGGCACGTGTCTGTCTGTCTGTCTGTCTGTCTGTCTGTCAGAGAGCATCATCAACAAGTGCATTGTGTTGTTTGGTAAACAAATCACTAAGTGTGTGTGGACATTGTCCGAGTGACAGCGATACACTGCTGTGAGAGATAATGACACAAAGCTGCTCCGTTATTCAAGTGAAACATTTTGACCCCTTCAGGTAAAGTGGGACATCACTTTTTACCCTGTACATGCAAATCTCACTTTCATTGATCAATCGAACCTCACACTGACGGTGAAAAAAGCTGTTTGACTGTCGGTGAGCTGACCCTGTTTAACATCAGGAATTCAGCCTTTTATTCCAGAGATAATCTTGACTGCTTTTGCAGCACATATAGAGGCATCACTGCATAATTCAGTGTTTTTTGCATGTTGTGTTGATCAGTTTATGCTCTTGACTAGTTGATCTCTGGTTTTTATTTCGGCTCTGATCTCCTTTTTTCTCTTTGAACTGAATTTCTTCTCTCATTTTTACGCTTTGAGACGCCTCCAACCCTTCTTTCTTTTTCTTGTAATTACACATTCATCGACTGTAATAAAGTTTACTAGTTTGTCTCATCTGCTTTAAGAGGGTTTCTGTGTATCCCTGTGTGCCTCGCTCTTTCCGTCACTGCAATCACACGCTATTTTTTCCAGATACTCACCTTTAACCTACATTTTTTTGCTGCATCATTGTTTCCAGAACAATTAAGTTTGTAAATGTCACGTAACGAGTGTGGTTTCATGGTGTTGTTACCCACAAATTGGGTGAGGTTTAAGTAGAGGTGGTTGACTCACTTCCTCTTCCTTGAATCAGTTTTAAAGTCCAAAGTTTTTAGATAAATAAAGTTGAAAGAAGGAAACTCTAAAAGTGAAGCACAGGCCTAAACTAATACTTCTGTTGAGGTTGTTTGCTCTGAATGTAGACTGACTATTTAAAGGTACAAGTATTACATTTGTTGATGTGTAAAAGAAAAGTATTCGATGTTTTTTAGTAAAGAAGTAAGAATCCAAACCGTAAAAAAGAGGATTTCTGCTGGTTTGTTTTCTTCATCCTTTAACACACACAGAGCTCTGATCGTTTTATTGGACAGCAGACATTTTGACCACGCAGACTTGTCACACAGACGGAGCACAGAGTCCATTCTCTAAAACAATTCAAACACAGTCTTACATCAGCCTCGTGTTTAATACTTACCTGAGGCCAGACTGGTTTTTTTCAGCCCTCAGAAGCTTCATGGCACTGATTTACTCGGTCTCTGAGGAGAACTTGAATAAGAAAAACACTGAGAAGTCACCGGTTTGAAGGTTTACAGTGGTGCACAGATTTGTTTTTGCAGTATCTAAATGACCAGATTGCGAGTCACAACAAAATGATTCTGGTGTTTGGGGCTGTTATCTCCGAAAAACAGTTTTTGGGGACAAAGAAAGCAGTTGGCCTATTTTTGGGTTCATTCCCAGTTTAATTAGTCACAGTGTCTTGAATATGAACCCTATCGTTCCTTTCTACTTCCTTAGAGGCGATGTGGAGCTGACATCCATTCACTTGACTGTCATTAACCTAAATATCCAAACGGCGAGCGGGGAAGCTGCAGCGAGTGTCCAGGGCTGATGATTGGGGTGTTGTTTTTGTCACATTGTGAAGGTGTTTCATATCGTCCCCTCTTGTAAAAAGGTATTTTCGGTAACGCAGCCTTTTAAAGCTCCTTATTAAAACTGAAGAGTAAGCACTACAAAGCAATTATCACAAGCCTGTCGTGACTCACAACTACATAACTGCACTTCAAATTCAAATAAAGGGGATGCGATGTGCTGAATCATAACTCTGTATTTTTCCCCGACCTCATGTTGACCCCGTTACTTCTTGTTTCCTAGGAGACAGCGGGAAGGTGACGACCGTCGTGGCCACTCCAGGCCAGGGTCCGGACCGCCCACAGGAAGTCTCTTACACGGACATCAAGGTGAAAAAAAAAAAATAAAGTTAAAAATAAAAAAAGAGAGAAAGAGTCGTTACAGAGAGCTCTGTCCTTAGATGCCGCTGCATTACCTCATCCGCTGCTGTAACTGAGACCGCTATCACCACCACGCTGCCCCCCGTGACTGCAGTACGTCTGTCTGGAGTTGATAAGGTTGTTAATCAATAGCAGTGGCTCCTTAATAATCCCACCAAGTTCTTTTTGGAGTCCCGGCTCACTTTTCAGCCTAGTTTCTGTAAACTATCCGGTCTCTGATCTGGAAATCTGACATAACTGTGTCAGTTACAGGCGGATAAAACCAGAGCGGCTGTTGGATTGAGGTGGAGAGATCTTAACAACAGACCATGTGGTGTTCTTTTTTTTATCTTTATCTAAGATTATCTAATGCTTCTGTAACTGTGTGTTTATCACAAGTTTAATCTTGAATGATGTTGTCTTATCTGGAGTATTGACACCTGTGTTACCTGTGATCGCTCTCTAATCAGTCTAATCAACATGAAACATAAAATTAAAACTGGTTCATGCTCAAAACAGAGAAATCACCACCATGAGTGAGTGAGTAACACTTATGCTAACTTCAATCATGATATCATTATTATCTTTTTTATCTGTACTGGTGTCATGAGACAGCTCAGAGGTAAATCATCCAGGGTTTTTCTGTGTTACTCTTAATGAATTTGTAGGATGATGATAAAACACGAGTAAATGTGCATTTAATTTCCATTTAGGTATAATCTGCACTGCCTTATAATATTATTAATAATTGTATGTTACTTCTTGATGACAGCACTGAAATTTTTCTATATTAATCTGTATTTATCTCCTCTATTTTAGGTGTTGCATCTAATGCTAGATAAGCTTAAAATGACAGTAGAGCTAATAATGAAAAGTTCTTGTTTCTTTAGAAAAACTCAAAAATATTTCACACTTGTATGATTCTGGAGGTAATGTATTGTAATGTTTTATATAATGTTTTATATAATGTTTTAATATATTCTACTGTATTTAGTTTTAATGTACTTTTAATCTTATTTTAATTTTAATTTTTATAATGTTCTGGATATTGTAAGGAGACCTTGAGTACCTTGAAAAGTGCCCTAACAAATAAAATGTATTATTATTATTATTATTATTATTATTAATTTCTGTCATATAAGCTCATTTCTGTCTGTTAAAATATAAACCAAGAACAACATTAAAGTCAGTTTGTCGGTGCTTTAATACCAAATCCCGGTGTAACAGACTGAAACGACAGCACTCGCTGCCTCTGCTCTGTCGTTAGATGACTTTAAGTTTTTCCTTGAGGCTCCTCTTGTGCCGGGCGAGTACCTACTCAGAAACAGGAGGTTCAAGAGTTCCTCTTAAAAGTATTAAAAAATACATCATTCTCTCGGCGCCTGCAGTGCTTTTACTCAAAAATGGAACTAAGAGAAAGTTCCTCCAGTCTGAACTTTACCTCCGATGACTCGACTGAAATGGAAAGTCTATTTATCACATCTCTATCTTTGTATTTCTCGTTAAACTGTCGTTAATCCTCCTCAGGTGATTGGAAATGGGTCGTTTGGTGTGGTGTACCAAGCTCGCCTCATCGACAGCCAAGAGATGGTGGCCATAAAGAAAGTCCTGCAGGATAAGAGGTTCAAGGTAGAGCGAAACTTTGTCTAGTCTAAACTCCTGTCGGACATGTTTGAGTGTCAGACATCATCTGGAAATATTAGAGTCAGTCTTAATAACTGCTAAAGTTTTTTGTAATCCTCCGTTTGTTTTATCTTCACAGAATCGAGAACTACAGATCATGAGGAAACTGGATCACTGCAACATCGTCAGACTACGTTACTTCTTCTACTCCAGTGGTGAGAAGGTACAGCTCAGGTCTTACTCTTACTCAAAAACATCGCCTCATTACACGATAAAATCACTCCTGACATGGTGATCCTGACCGTACCAACTTAAATTAACTCGTGTGTATTTTAAACTCTGTGATTTGTCTTCCTCTCTCTTTGTCCTGTGCCGCACAGAAAGATGAAGTGTATCTCAACCTGGTGCTGGACTATGTCCCCGAGACGGTCTACAGGGTTGCCAGGCATTTTAACAAGGCGAAGAGCATCATCCCCATCATATATGTGAAGGTAGATTTCTCCTCTCTCTGTGTTTGTTCATCAGGGATTTAGAATTAAATGTCCCTGAATATCATCTCTTTCACAGTCTTTAATCACCGTGTTTGTGTGTTTTTCAAGTGTGTAAATTGATCTTTTGTTCTTATTTGAACATCCTCAGGTGTACATGTACCAGTTGTTTCGCAGCCTGGCTTATATCCATTCCCAGGGTGTGTGTCACAGAGACATCAAGCCTCAAAATCTGCTCGTCGACCCAGAAACTGCCATCCTCAAGCTGTGCGACTTTGGCAGGTGAGCTGCGTGAACAGATGGATTTCTCCCTCTCAGACACCGAGGATCTTTTTCCTTTTTTTTAAAGCAGTTTTTAGGAATAAAGAGTCGTACATTTGAGCTGATTTTGTAACTGAACTGTATTCTTGCTGGTTTCTTTCTTTGTTTGTACAGCGCCAAGCAGCTTGTCCGTGGTGAACCCAACGTGTCGTATATCTGCTCTCGGTATTACCGCGCCCCCGAGCTCATCTTTGGTGCCACAGACTACACAGCAAACATTGACATCTGGTCAGCAGGCTGCGTACTGGCTGAGCTGCTGCTCGGACAACCCATATTCCCCGGTGACAGCGGAGTCGACCAACTAGTAGAAATTATCAAGGTGAGCGTGGAATTTCTGTCTGAGCAGGTATCAGAGATCGCAGAGATCTGTATGTTCAGATAAATACAGCCTGCTCTTGTGTTGGTGTGTCAGTAGAATAAATAGTAAATCACACCTACAGGATAAACTCGTGTTTCTACAGAAATCAGCTCATAATGTTTGGACGTGTTTTCAGGTGCTGGGAACCCCGACAAGGGAACAAATCCGAGAGATGAACCCGAACTACACAGAGTTCAAGTTTCCCCAGATTAAAGCCCATCCATGGACCAAGGTGAGTCAACACCTGAGGTAGAAACCTCCCCAGGAACCTCTGAACTCGTGTGTGTGTGTGAAAGAAAACAACAAATTAAAGTGTTGAATTCATTTTTCTGCTGTTTTAACGAATGTACTTTGGTTGTCTTCAGTCCCCTCATGTAAGCTCTAAGCATTAATCCATATGTTCTGACATACCTTACACCGGCTCAATAGGAGAGGATACCTGTGGGCTTGTTGATGCCCACACAGTCTATTTCAATCTGAGAGTCGAAGAGAGTTTTGTGTTCTGAAAGTCGGTTAACCCTGACGCTTTTATCGCTTAAAAACAACCTAAAAACACGAGGAATGGCCCTTCAACCTTTACTACGAAACATATACGCAGCTAAAACCTACAAAAGAGCCTTTATTTTGAAAGAAACACTGCCCGAGTCCACAGTTTCAGCATTTTAGTCCACACACACACAAAAGGCTTCAGGGTGAACTTTATTATGATTGAAATAAATCACTTTAATGATTTAACAGAATGAGACTTGTATTAATAGTTGGATAATGAAGTTTGAGGGTGAATCTGCCCTCTGTTCTTCGTCTTGAAACAACCTTATCCATCACCTATCATTCTGGCACATATCCAGACGCCTCTTAAAGCTCCTCCTCTTCCTCTTCCTCAGGTGTTTAAACCTCGCACTCCTCCAGAAGCCATCGCTCTCTGCTCCAGGCTGCTGGAGTACACGCCGGCCTCTCGGCTCTCCCCGTTAGAGGCCTGCTCACACGCCTTCTTCGACGAGCTCCGCCAGCCCAACACACGACTGCCCAGCGGCCGAGACCTGCCCATGCTCTTCAACTTCAGCCCCACAGGTAGACGAGATATCAAACATGATGATTTAATTCAATGGTTGTTAATGTAGTGATTTCTTTCCATCTGCTGGTGTCTCTCGGTTCATTTAAGGCCCACACGGTGACCTTAAAGGAGCTGCGATTCATACAGTGTGCACTTTGCTGCTGCTGCTGTTGTGATCCGTGACTCATATTGAAATAAAAACTCTTCTTTTGCAGAGCTGTCAATTCAGCCCCAGCTGAACTCAACCCTTATCCCTCCTCATGCTCGCTCTCACACAGCTGCTTCCGCCCACGGTGAGAACTCCTATTAGAACGTTTTTAATCATTTTATTGTTGATGTCAGTGCGGGGGCTTCGTGTGGGTCGAGCAAACGAAAAACTTTTTAACACAGCTCCTTTGATTTTGTCACAGTGCGCTGACTTTTGATTAGCTGCTGAGGAGGAGGATTCAGCCAATTAGAGCAGGAGTCTATTTTTATCTTTCTTACCTGGCGTTACATCAGGTCAGGTCAGGGCGGTTAATTCAGGGAAGTTCTGCAAAATTCATCATGAATACACAATGAATTAAACATTTGAAACAGGGTAATGTCAGCTGTGTAACACTAGATGGCAGTATTTGACTTGACATCCCAAAAATGTGTAATGAGCAGGTTGGACAGAAAAATAGTGTCTCATTCTGAAGCTTCAGGTTTTGAATAAAACGAATTTACATCCTTAAGATCAATCATGTCATCTTACTCTCTAAAGAGGAGCTCTGTTCACTGATTTGTTGATTTTTCTTCTTTGTAAAAACCCAAAGAGTCCAAGATCTGTGATCGAATATGCACACTTCTCATCGTGAAATAAATATCTGATATTGATTTGAATATATATCAAAGTTTTTCTCTCTTCCAGACACTAAATATTCCTTAACAAGATTGACCAGAAACACGACGACAGCTGCTCCATTTGAGCAGGTGTAACGATGGGAATAAGATATTTGTTTACAGTCAGGCCCTGTGAGAGGCAGACAGCAGGATTTATCCATGATGTCAGTTTATATGGACAGAGCGAAAAGATCGAAAACACAGGGCTCAATCAAAATAGTCGTGATGTGAGACTTTAACATTAATGTGATTTTATGTAGAAATTTAAAGACAGGATTTATTCAGAACTCTGGATTTTCAGACCTAATAACTTAAACAGTTGTGAGTGTTTTTGTTTGTCATGCTGCAGACGTACTTCACAGTGATGTAACGGGGGTCAGTCAGCTGACAGGAAATGAGATGAATGTGTCGAAGGCTCTTTCTAGTCTTTCTTATGAATGTATGCAGAGAAGTGTTTTCACCTGTGAAGGAGAGCTTACTTTAAACCGGAAATCAAAGCAGATGTGTCACTTTTACCCAGAGGTGTCTGATTTGTTCCCATTTATATCAGAATTTTGACACATTTTTAAGTTGACTTAATCATTGTTAGAAATATGTACCTCAAGCAGAGGGGACCTTTCTGACCGCCTGCTCCAACAGGCAGTAACAACATTTGTGATAGATGACACCAATCCCAGCGCAGCCTCTAAGTCAAAGCACTGACCTTCTGATTGAGATGCAGGGTTCCTACGCAAATGTGGAAAAGTGTGGAAGTAATTTGATCAGTTTCCAGGTCTTAAAAAGTTTGGTAAATGAAAAATAAAGAATGGAAAAATATTGATGTTTCCAGACTAAAAATACTGATTTCTAAAATAGAAAAGTAGGTATTTCCAAATGGAAATTCCAGCTGTGTAGGAACCCTGGAGCGGTGTATCCTGTCTGAGCTCTTTGTCCTCTCTGTGACCAGAAGTCCATTTTTTCAGGTGGAGTGTTCGCTAAGACAGCAGCATGAAAAATTCACACAGAGGAATAAATAACAGAATGAAATGAAGCTGCTTTTTTACCAAACTGTACCGTCTAAACCTAAATGTGTAACCGCCCTCTCAGCCCGACCTGACTGTCTCCTCTTCTGTCCCTCAGATGGTACCGGCTCTGATTCATCTCAACACAGTTCAGTACCTGGATCTCTTAACAGCATCTGAAGCAGCTTCTCACCTGCCTGCCTGTCAGCCTCACCCTTACCTCAGACACACACACACACACACTCACACACACACACACACACACACACTCACACACACTGTACTGCTCTCCTCCATGCTGCTTGCTCTCCTCTTAGATGATCTGTTTTGTACAGTGAACACATTAAACGACAAACATTAGCTCAGTAGCTGCTGCCGGGGTGTTTTAAACTACAGCAGGAGATTGTCACACACTCTCAGAGTCGGGCTGCTGCTCAGGTGGGACGTGAAGGTTCAATAGTGGGGGCTGGTCCTCTGTAAAATAACCTTTTTTAATCAACATTTCTTCTTTATATTTGTGTTTATTTATTTGACTAATTGAAAGAATCATGTGAACGTTTTTTTTTTTCCACTTCAGATTATTTTTTTATTCTTCAGTGTTAGTCAAAGGTGAACCCGAACCTCCCCTGAAACACAGACCAGAGTATGTGAAGAGGGAGAAAACGTGGATTTCACCTGTAGAGCAGAAGCAGGGGGCGCGTTATTTTTGAACCTCTAAGTGTTGATGGACTGATAGAAGAAAGAAATGAAAGAAAAGACCTTATCAGTGAAAAAACGTAGGAGTGAAGATCGTGGGAAGTGTTTGTGCGTCTGTCAGCCAAACACTGACTCACATCAGTGACCCTGTCGTCTTAGCGTCTTTTTTTTTTTAACGTCTAAAAAGTGAGCTGTCCCCCCCTTCCCAAAAAAATCAGTATGACTAATACGACTGAATAAACTGTTTTATTGTGTTGCTGCATTTTACCCTGAGGATGGCGAACCGTCACCTCGCTGCACAGAGCAGACTGAACGCAGAGGGACACAGAGCGGTCCAGCGGCACAGCTCGTTCCCTCGTTAGGTCACATTCATGAACTCAAAGAAAACAGAAGAGAATAAACTCTGGAGGCTCATACTCACAGTTGTTGAAGATATCCTCAGATTAGCTCTTGAATTTCAGGATTACAAACTCCATGTGGTGTAAACAGATGGTCTGAGAAAGAACGACACAGCTGCTCGGCGTGGATTTTCCTGAACAAGATAGGAAATAGTCAGGAAGAACATTAAAACCCTTTACCCCCCTGAGAGACCCCCAAAGTGGACCACATCGTACATACAGGTGTATCTGGATTTGACAGGAAATGACTACAACAGCGTTACAAAATAAAAGTTTGGTTTGATTCCTCAATTCAACATGAAGCTTGTCTAAAATAATCAGGATTAACTTTGATTCTGTTTGATGTTCAGTTAAAAAAATAAAAATGGTTTCTTGTAGAAGGAAAAAAAATTTTAAACCAAAAAAGTCGTCTTTTAACTGTGAAATGCACCTTTAACTAGTTTCCCTTTGCTTCTTTGTAACATCTTAATTCCAGAATTCAATCCTGGTGGCTTCGTTCAGGTCTTAGCTAACTCGTGCTTTCTTAGGCGATGTTTAATGTTTTTAATCATTATTTAGAGTTTGAAAAAGAAGAAAAAAACTCTGTAGATGGAGACCATGATGTGTCGGGGTGTCACTGTGAACGGTGGGAAGTCAAATGTTTTAAATCAGTGTAACTGTGGACATCATGTAGAGATCGATTAGTCCTTAAAAAAATTCTAGAAAGTATTAAACTCTGTGGATATAAATACTAACAGCTCTCCTTTATAATCTGTGGTCGACTTTTTCACATTTGAATAAACTCGGCTGGTTCCCATGAATATTAATAACATACAAAACGCTCCTGCTATCTGATCAAAAAAATCACTTTTTGGTGGAATCGTCCTTCAGTTGATAACGCCTCCTTTTCTGATGTTAGTGTAGGGAACGTCACTGTTGAACACGAATTCTTCTGTTGTCTAAGTGAGGGAGGGAAACAGGAATTCTGGGTAACATTGAGTGGGGAAACTTCATGTTCATTTATTTATTTGTTTCTGGATGTCTGGAGGAGGGTTTGAAACGGAGTCACAGCTTTTTCAGCAAACTAGTGAGGGTGATTGGACGTGTGCTGGGCGGCTTCGTGTGAGTAGAGTAGTTGAACGTGACCTTTACGCAGGGCTGTTTGTGTTAGGTTACCGTGTGTGCGTGTGATGTTGTACTTCTGTTTTTGTGAGGATTGATTTGGATTCGTCATCAATAGAAGGATTCGTTCGAGGTTATCGGTTCGAGAATGTATCATCACAGACACCATCCTCCTCACCTATCAAAGTACAAGTGTTAATGTGTGTGTGTGTGTGTGTGTGTGTGTGTGTGTGTGTCTGAGCCTGCTCCAACCTGCAGTCTAAACAGTGTTTTAGGGATTAGAGCCGTAAACAATACCGACCTTTAGTAAGCAGTACAGACCACTTGAAAGTTTGTAGAATAGTATATTTGATACTATTGTACCATGCCTCCACCTGCTGTTTCGAACTGCAGCCATGTTTGTTTGTTTCCTCTTTTTCTTATACGTGTAGAGCTCATGCTGAGCCTCGATGCTTTTTGACTTCCACCACACTCGGCACATTCACGTTAATTTTATATGAGGAGAGTCGAGAGCATTTTTTCATTCTCTGTCCGTCATCTCTCTTTCTCTTTCTCTCTCTCTCTCTCTGTCCTGTGGGCACGTTTTCTGCTTTCTTTGCTCTGAAGAGTCAAATCAGCGCGTTCGATAAACTCGGCAGGCGTCACGCTCAGAGCTGTCAGACTCCCTGTGGCTATGAAAAGGCGTGGAAAAGCCAGGAAGAGGAATCGAACACGTCTGATTTTCCTCTTCCCCAATCTCAGAAGCCATTTTCCCCCTCACTCTCCGTCTCTTATCGCACATGTAAATATCACTGATTTTTATTTTCCTCTTTTTACTTTTTATTACAGAGTTGTTTATATCTTATTCCCCTCATCCTGTTGATGAAAGCAGTCTTAGTTTGTGCATTTTTTTGTAAATAAGTTTCTTTTTTCACAATTCAAAATGTAAATACTGCAAAGAAAAAGGTCAGCCTACTGCTCATGTTTGATGATGGTCTTTCTCTCTCTCTCTCTTTGTTGTTGTCCGATGAGAACTGTAAAGTAACTCTTGACAGCGTTGTCAAAAAGCTGTCATTCCTGTCCGGTCCTCGGTGGGACCACCTGACTGTTAAATGAATATCTCAGAGGTTCTGTTCCAGTGTGATCTTCTTATGTTCGCCTGAAATTAACTCATGTTTGCTTATTTGATCCATTTACAGCCGCAGTGTGAATCTGGCTTCATAATCCTCCACTCAGCCGACTAATCTTTGTCAACTTTTGGTCCAAAAATCAGAATAAATGTAAAGCTGAACCGTGACTGTTTTAAACTTTTCCTTTTTTACATAATTATGCTGAAAAACAGCATTAACTTTTAACAGACTTTAAATCAGACTGAAATAAGAGGGAGCTTCTGCGTTGTTGTGTCAACTCTAGTAAATTTCCAGTTCTGGATGCCTCAAAAAGGCACAACCTTTAAAAAATCAAAGACTTAAAGCAATATCACTCTCTGCCAGCAGGTGGCACAAGTCTCGTAAAAGCCCATCTGCTGTACCCTTCCCTGCCTTTAGATGGCAGTCAATCCTTCTCTTTAAAGCTCCTGTGAAAACTTCTAGCTATAAAACCGACTGAAATTTACACCAATATACCTTTAGAGCCCTAAAAAAGTAAAAAGACTCAGCTGTCAACTATCTTGTCTTGACGACTGTAGAGACAGACTTCTACTACTTTGTTGCAAATATTCAACAATCGAGGGGGTATCAGTTTGACCACAAGGGGGCGCCAAAATCAAAGACAAAGTTCCTGTTTCCTCTAAACAAACGTCTTTAACCTTCTCATACTTCAGTGTTAATAAAAGTCAAACGGACAGTCTGCTGGTTTTTAGTTCATGTCCCTCTCACAGCCTCTCTCTCTCTCTCTCTTGGTTGGAACAGAACTCTGTTGTTCGTCGTGTCAGATTGTAAAGTGCTCTTGCTCTGCAGTATTCAGAAAAATGACTTACTCGCCACTTTGATGTGTTAGTCTGACTGGAGTGATTAAAAAGTGTTTAGCTGGACTAAAAATCTCATTTTGACGTCCAGCTGATACCCATGGGCATTTTGTATTATATGCTGAATGGCATTCAGGATTGCTGCTACTGATCATAACATGTCAGAGGTGGATATTAGTGTGACTGCAGACTGTGTGTGTCTTTGTGTGGCCTGGAAAATAAGTTTTTTTTTAATCTTTGAGAACTCAATTGTCCGTTCTGCACCTGAAGGATGTCACTGTTCATGTCCCTGTTATACTTTTAACGGGGTTTTAACTCTGGTGTTAGATTGTTGTTCTGGAATGATGGTGGGAGAAAGAGAGAGAAAGAAACACAAACCTGTCTGTCTCTGTTCTGTGTGTGTATCATATGGACTCATTTACTGTAATAAAGTGATGAAACTGTGCTCACATTGTGCTCCTCTTTGTTATAGAACATCAGTTTCATGTTCATTTCCTGCTTAACCGGTTCAAACCCGTGCAAAATTGATTAAACGATAAATCTTGGCTTCATCAGCTAAACTCTAAACTTAAACTATACTCAGAAATTTAAGTTTATACTCTGGAATTTATCCTGATAACATATATTGGTTAAACTGCAGGGTTCCCAGAGCCTTCAAGCCTTTTAACCATGTTCTAAAAATGGATCTGACACTCTCGCTGTCCGTACTGCCTGTCTAAAGTGATCATACTAACATTTTGAATTTCCCTTCGGGGATCAATTAAGTTATTCTTATTATTATTCTTAGTGTGAACCTGAGAATTACTCACACAGGCCTGGAAAGAAAAATCTGAGATATAAAGTTTTAATTGATTAAATGATTGATTAGTTTATTGTATTTATAATCAGTATGTTGGTTGGCTGAATTGAACTGTTATTATTTTAATATCATTGTTGATATTGCCTTTTATATATACTATCCTGTTTCAGCTTTCAACCCCCTTTTTAACTGAATTTTCTTTTTTTTCTTAACTATTTTTCGTTTTTATTTTGGTCCTAATGGTCTCATTTTATGTTGCATGGGCACAAAAATGACCTTAAAATCCGTTTTAACTGAGTTTTTTGCGTTTGTTCTTTCTTTTTCCATGTGCTTTATGACAATATATCAAAGCACTTTGTAAACTTCTGTTTTTAAAAGAACTTAACAAAAAGAGTTATTATTATTATTATAATTACTACTGCAGTTCTCCTCCAGACCGAACGGGGGCGCCGCTCGCTCCTCTGCGTGTTTGAATCGCTGTGACGGTTAAAGTCCTTCTTTGGATTTTCCTCTGGCGTTCAACAAGAGACCGACGACAGAGCTGAGAGAGAGGCAAACCTCGAAGGTAAATTCACCTGAAAACAGACAGAAATGCTTCTGTTTCATACATACAAATCAAATGCGTTATATCTAAGACGGTTTTCTACTCAGAAATGTAACTGTTGTGCTCCAAAGTGATCTTGTTTCGATCTAACTCGTAGTCACATGTAATCTCAGGTTCCTTAGCTAGCGGAGCTAACTCTGTTAGCAAGGCGGCGCCGGTTTTTAACAGGCCTGAGCGATGATGACAATAACACAGACTGTTTAAGTTAGCCCGTTTAGATAAATTTCAGCTTTTTAGACATAAATTAGTCTATTTTCAATCGTGTTTAACGTTAATCACGCGTGTGTGTTACCAGTGAGTTGACTACTCATGAAACGATGATAGATTATCGTCACATTTAGTGTGATAAAACACTTTATAGTGAGCTGTTATTTAAGTTTATTTCGGTTTTGCTGCCTGTAAAATTATTTTGTTTGAGAAAATATGAGTGTTAACTTTGTTACTTTTTTTGTGGTGTCGAACCTGAGACCGGAAAATCTGGTCTAGTGTGTTTATAAGCAGAAGTTCAATGTGGGATAGTCCTCATCAGCAGGATGAAACATGTTCAGCTATTATAGAACAAGAACTCCACCCGATTCTGTTGATGTCTAATCTTACTCCTCAGTACAAACTCTTATATTTCTCTAAAAGAGCAAACCCAGGCTGCTGTTGAAAACAGGACACACAGTATTTCAGCTGATTATTAATGTTGTTCTGTTTGTTTTTCTTTAAGGTCAAAGTTGAGGGCCATGGCTCGTGGGCAGCAGAAGATTCAGTCCCAGCAGAAGAACGCCAAAAAGGCAGCTGAGAAGAAGAAAGGTCAGGGTGCTGACCAGAAGACCGCCGCCAAGGCCGCACTGGTCCACACCTGCCCTGTGTGTCGGGTAAGAGAAACTACGGCGGCCCAGAACCGCCACTGCTACAAATATGGGCTCCGTGTTCTAGTCTACACGCAACATTTTTGTGCTCATTCATGAAACACTTAAATCTGGGACATTTGCGGCGACAGCTTTTGCCGGGGACAGGTCATCCAATTCGGGGACTGTCTCCGGAAATCGCGGACGTCTGGTCACCTTAATGTAGTGCCTGAGTCGATATGAAGTTGAACTGAAGCAAACACTTCCCACCTAATTCTCGCAACTCGCCAAAAAGTTTTTTGTTTTTTTTTTTGCATCCCCACCTTTTTGCGCCATTAACTGCCATTGCAGCTTTTTTTATGTCTTTCTGCACCGTTCTTTTTTTTTTTGCGCTTTGTTAACTTCCGTTGCAGCTATTTTTGTGTATCTGCACTGTTATTTTTTTTCTTTCTAATTTCTGTTGTGGCGTTTGTTTGTTTGTTTGTTTGTTTGTTTGTTTTTTTTCATTTTTTTATTTGCAACAGTGGCGGTTCTTGGCCACCGTAAGAAACACTGCACTGAAAGACATAACCTACAGTTCAGAGAATGATACAGACTAGTTTTATCGTAAAGATTTTGTTAAGATATTTTTTATACAACATTGATTCATATTTCTTAGGTATTTGTTTGGTTTATTCACTGATTTTAATCAGTCTGCCTCGTGTGTTCCTATTGGAAAACATCAAATCGTTGTAAAGACAAATTAAAAAACAAGTTAGAGAATTACAAAATGGAATAATGTCCAAAAAAATTATTCTTGTTGATAGTTATTAGGGTGGAGGATGATGACACCACTATTGACATCATCTATTATATTCTCTTTCCTAGTTTTTTTATTTGTAAAATATTCTAAAACAGTTTAAGTTCTGAGTCCAGTTTTGTTGTCTGAAATAAAAGCTGGTTGTCCAGGAGACCCAGGTCCAGGTCCTAAAAAGTGAATCCTCTTTTGATTCCAGACACAGATGCCCGACCCCAAAACCTTCAAGCAGCACTTTGAGAGCAAACATCCCAAATCCCCCATGCCTGCAGAGCTGGCTGACGTTCAGGCATAAAGGCTCTCTGACTGGACCAGACCTGATCCCGAACTTGGGTAAGAGAGACTGTCCTTATTATTTTAATGAAGTGTAGAGTAGGTGTCATGAAAGTGAAGCCAAAAAAATAACAGTAAACATTAAAAACACATTTTTTTGTAGTCATAACTCTAAAAAAACCCAAACTGTTGCTTTCAGATATGTAATGACCACAGACGAATCGTTGAATCGTGGAGAATGAAGGATGTTGATGACGAACACTGGGACCCGTCAGTATTCTTGGACAGCGGGTTGGGATGGATGTGTGTATGTGCTGTGTATGTACATGTGTGTATGTGTAAGAGAAACCAATAACAAAGAGGCAGAAGTACACCAGCACCCAGTTTTTATATTTATTATGTGAAACTACCTTATGATTCCAGATTAGGAGGGGGGGGACCGACTAACACTGAACAAAAGTACAACTTCAAAACCGAAAGATGTGTGTCTGAAAAAGTAACTGAAACTCACAGGGAGAGAGGACACATCACAGGATCACACGATACATCCACCGCTGAGTGAAAACTCCTTTTTCCTCTCACTTCAGTGTCCACATCTGTTTCACCGTCATCACTGCACACTCTGAGTGGATGACATTATGACCAAAACTTATGACCACTGGCCTCTTCTAGTGAATGAACCCCTTCTTTTAATATCAGGATTGAGTTTGTTGATAGTTAAATGTGTACAATAAATTGCTCAAATTCCATTTAGTGATTAAACAAATACTCTGCAGCCTTTTCTCCTCAGCCAACGCTCAGCGGGTGTTTTCAGAGCTCTAAAACAGTCAGAGGAGCCCGCCCCTTTGTTACGCCGGACTAAATGAATCAAAGTTCTTGGTGCCGTTTTCCAAAATAACTCTGAGTCCTCTCCCGCTAAGGGAGCAGTGAATATCTGGTTGAACCTTTGCAGCATCTGCGTTCACTTTTTTATCATAATTCGGCTTCAGAAATAGACTAAAACGACAAAATCTCTTCGTTTATGAATTATGATTCAAACACAGCTCTGACCCAAGTGTTATCTTTTCTCCTGGCTGTGTGCGTTTGACCATGACTTCCCAGCTCTCAGCCCGCTCAGAGTCTGAAAACGCCTACTAACACCAACAATACCTCACATAAGAACTTCACAGCAATCTCATATTGTCTTTTTTTTTTTTTTTTTAACCCCTAACTCCTCGACTTTAAATGTTTGTTTTCCAACTAAACCTCGGCAATAACATCACCTTCATTGTACCTGAGTTAAACCAGGACAGGATGGATTTTGAGAACCAGTCAAACATTTATTTACTAAAATGCACATCTATCTTTTTTGATTTCTGGTTACAGCGATTCTGTGTTTGATGTCAAGTTTATAAGTTGCCTGAAGGACTGATAGTTAAAAATAAATTCACTAATTGTCAACATGATTAATCCCTCTTCTTTTTGGTTCCTGATTTAATTACAAAAAGGAAAAACATCACTAAACTGCTTTCACTGTATTTTTTTTTTTTACCCTTTTCAATAAATTGAAAAACGTATTTAATGTGACTGATCTTCTCTGTGGATTCTGTTCTGGTGACGTCCATACGCTCTCAGATGCACACAGCTTCATACTCAACCATGTTATTAATGACTGTCACACATTTACAGGCTGGGTTAAAAATAGAATTGTTTAGAAACTAAGGTCATATCTCTGTTTAATACTGAACACAGATCCAAGTTTTCATATCTAAGTTTGTCATCCTCACATTTTTGGATTATCTTTCGTTCCCTTTATAACATTCACATAAAATCAGGAGGTTGTAAAAAATCTTTATTAATTTAATACAAATGGAAAAGTTCTCATATACACTTTTTGCATCAATAGTCATGCAGTTATTTAATTCTTATACAGTAAAACAGCAGGCATCACTGATGGCGTGTCCACCATCAAATATCATTTGCCCTTACACCGTCAGATTCTGCATGTTGGTCTCTGTTTGAATAAAATTTAAATATTTTAACTCTGAAAGTTTGAAAATAAGTTCTGCTTTTATGGAAGACAGGAGTGACTATGAATGTCTATGAAGCTGATGGAGAACCAAAGAAATGTCCTTTTAGATTCACCCATGTGTCGCATATGAAGGTTAGCACACAGTTAACAGCATAACAAGTACCAAAGATAGAAATGTAAAAAATTCAGATGTTTAAAAACTGTAAAACATTAACAAACTGGAATCAGTGAATTGAACAGATCTGTAAAATGATTTCACTCATTCACAGACCTTTCTGCAGCATCTTTGATTGAAATAAAGAGTTTCTGGGGTTGAAAAAACTCCTCCACAGAAGTTTGGACCGGACTCCTCACAGTGTCCCGACTGTCCAGACGAGCAGTCACCTCCCTCATAGACACCCGCAGGTCTTCACCACCATGTTGCGGTGTTTCTTGAGGATGACGTTGTTGTTGTCGTCATAGAAGAGGACAGAGATCGGGCTGAGTTTGGTAGGTGCGCAGCACGCTTTAGGGACCTCGTCTGGCTTCAGGAGGTGGACCTGCCACAGCAGAGAAAACAGCTCAAGCTCAGGTATTTATCGAAAACCTAAACCCTTATCCTTACAATAACTAGGATGTATCCTGATCATTTTTTTTATATTAAGTAAATGATCCAATATGGTGGCGTAGAAAACTTAAGAAAAACAACCGTAAAAAGACAAAAATGGGCTATGACTTCACCGGATTGCTGATCTCTCAGAATAAGACATAATTTTTTCTGGTGTTTTTGTCTTCGAGTGTGTGATGGCTGAACGTACCACTTGTTGTATGAGTGCGTGGTTTGTGGCGTTCATGCAGGAGCCCAAAGGATAAAAACACTCGCCGTCACAGTAATACGCTGAATATCCAGTCGGAGCCAAAACCCAGTCCTGAAGACAAAGACAGAGCAAAAACATAAACACTGAGAAATATTTCAACTGTAGTATAATACAGATTTTAAATTTTAGTATAAAAAAAAAAATCTAATTTTAGTATAGTATAGTATGATAAAAATATTTAGGTATGGTAGGATATGAATGTCATAGTATGATATGATAAAAATATCCAATTTAAGTATTTAAAAAAAAAGTCAAAGTATAGTATGATGAAAATTTGTCAAAGTATAGTAAGTAGAATAAAAATGTCATAGTATAGTATGATAAAAATAAATTGTAAAGTCTAATAAAAATGTCAAAGCATAGTATGATAAAAATATCAAATTTTAGTATAGAAAATATTACAGCATAGTATGAAAAAATATAAGATAGTATGAAAAAATGTTAGTTTTGAATGAAAAAGATTTTATAGTATAGTATGTAAAAAAATGTCTGTGTATTGTATGTCAAAAAATGTCATTGTATGCTGTGATAAAAATTAATTAATTAATTAGTATAGTATGTTATAAATGTCATAGTATAGTATGTCAAAAATGTCATAGTATAGTATAATAAAGATGTCACAGTATAGTATGATAAAAATGTCATAGTACAGTATGATAAAAATTTTTGTCTGAAAAAAAGTCATGGTATAGTATGTTTAAAAAATTTATAGTGTAGTATGATATCAAATTTAAATGTTCGTATTAATTAAAAAATGTAATTGTATTGTATGTTAAAAAATGTCAGTATTTTATGGTGAAAATTGTTATAGTATCGTATGATAATGTCATTGTATAGTATGATAAAAATATCAACTTTTGGTTTTAAAAAACGTCAACGTATAGTATGTGAAAAATAAAGTCACTGTAAAGTGTTACGGATGTATGTGTGTGAGTGTCTAAGAGTTTGAGTGTCTAAGTGTGAGTATCTGCGTGGATGTACCTGTGTGGATGTACGTGAGTGGGAGTTTCTGTGTTAAAGTGTCTATGGGTGTGCTTTACACTCTCATTGCAGAATTCCCAGCACCTGCACCTGCCGCAATAAACAGAGCAGAGGACATGCAGCTCACTCTCTCTTTTTCAGCCCAGAGCGATGTTCTACAGTGGAGCAGTAGCAGCCGAAGTGTGATTTTCATGAATGATTGGAAAAGTGATTTCTCTTTGTTTTAGACTGAGCAGTGCGACTTTTATTTCTACCTTGTTATATACTTAGTAGAGCACCTTTGAGAGAGTTTTGTAGCTGTCACCTGTTCTTGTTAAGTCATCCTGTTTTTGAGAGGATAGTTTTTTGTTGTTATACATATATCGTCCTTATTTCTGTGAGAATTGTTTTGTTTTTGTGGTAGTGCTGACCTGAGCTTCATCATTAAAATATTTCAGTAATTGCCTTCTTCTGTGATTCCCTTTTTAGTATGATAAAAATTTCAAAAAAAAAAAAAAAAAAAAAAAAGGCATAGTATAGAATGTAAAAAAATGTATGATAAAAAAATTCACATTTTGTGTGAAAAATAATGTCATAGAATAGACTGTTCAAAATGTCATAGTGAAGTATGTTAAAAGATTTCATAGTAAAGTATGATTAAAAATTTTTTAATTTAGTATGAAAAAATGTCAAAATGTAGTTTGTTCAAAATGTCATAGTATAGTATGATAAAAAAGTCATAGTATAGTATGTTTAAAAATGTCATAGTATAGTATGATAAAAATTTCAATTTTTTTCTGAAAAAATGTCATCCTATAGTATGATAAAAAAAAATCAAATTTTGTGTGAAAAATAATGTCATAGAATAGTATGTTCAAAATGTCATAGTATAGCATGTTAAAAAAATGTCATAGGAAAGAATGATGAAAACTTTTAAAATTTAGTATGAAAAAGGTCAACATGTCGTTTGTTTAAAATGTCTTAAAAAGTCATAGTATAGTATGATTAAAATTTCATTTTTTTTCTGAAAAAATGTCATAGTATTGTACGATTAAAAAAATCACAATTTGTGTAAAAACAAATGTCATAGAAAAGTAAGTTCAAAATGTCATAGTATAGCATGTTAAAAAATGTAAGTTAAGTATGATGAAAATTTTCACAATTTAGTATGAAAAAAGGTCAAAATGTAATTTGTTTAAAATCTCATAGTATAGTATGATAAAAAAGTCATAGAATAGTATGATAAAAATTTCAATTTTTTTCTAAAAAAAAGCCATAGTATAGTGTGTTAAAAATGTCATAATATAGTATGATAAAAATTTCATTTTTTTCTGAAAAAATGTCATAGTATAGTATGATAAAAAAAATTCAAATTTTGTGTGAAAAATAATGTCGTAAAATAGTATGTTCAAAATGTCATAGTATAGCATGTTAAAAAATGTCATTGGAAAGTATGATGAAAACTTTTACAATTTAGTATGAAAAAAGGTCAAAATGTAGTTTGTTCAAAATGTCATAGTATAGTAAGACAAAAACAGTCATAGTATAGTATGATAAAAAAAGTCATAGTATAGTATGATAAAAATTTCAATTTTTTTCTAAAAATAAGCCATAGTATAGTGTGTTTCTGTGAAAAATAATGTCATAGAATAGTATGTTCAAAATGTCATAGTATAGCATGTTAAAAAATGTCATAGGAAAGTATGATGAAAATTATTAAAATTTAGTATGAAAGAGGGTCAATATGTAGTTTGTTTAAAATGTCTTAGTATAGTATGAAAAAAAGTCATAGTATAGTATGATTAAAATGTAAATTTTTTTCTGAAAAAAATGTCAGTATAGTATGTTAAAAAATGTCATAGTATAGTATGATAAAAAAATCACAATTTGTGTAAAAACAAATGTCATAGAAAAGTATGTTCAAAAAGTCATAGTACAGCATGTTAAAAAATGTCAGTAAAGTATGATGAAAATTTTCACAATTTAGTATGAAAAAAAGGTTAAAATGTAGTTTGTTCAAAATGTCAGTATAGTATGATGAAAAAGTCAAAGTATAGTATGATAAAAATTTCAAATTTTTTCTAAAAATAAGCCATAGTATAGTGTGTTTGTGTGAAAAATAATGTCACAGAATAGTATGTTCAAAATGTCATAGTATAGCATGTTAAAAATGTCATTGAAGTATGATGAAAATTTTTACAATTTAGTATGAAAAAAGGTCAAAATGTAGTTTGTTAAAAAAATATCTTAGCATAGTATGATTAAAACATTTCATCTTGTGTGAAATATAATGTCATAGAATAGTATGTTCAAAATGTCATAGTATAGCATGTTAAAACCTTCCAGCCGAGGTCACTGAAGCTGACGTAGAGTTCATGTTTTTTACACGGCTGACCTCCGTTATTTACAGGACTCCGATCTGAAGACGAAGAAATAAAATGATTTAAGGAATTTTAAAGTCACTAAACATTTCTCTTCAATCAAAGCAAAAGAGTTTAAAAACAATCAGCTTCTTAAAGAGACTAAAAGTTTGTTATATCCCTGTCAGATCTGGTTACAATTTATGAAATTAAACTTCAAGTAAAATCTGCTAAGATACTCCAATTAACAAAACTCAGAGTCAAAAACCAAATTAACTGTTCTCACTGTGGATGCTGGGAACAGGGAGGTCGTATTTTGGTTTCTTCCTGCGTGGATGGGGTTTGACAGCTCTTGGCGGCCGGCAGGGGATCTGACTCTCCCTGAAGAAGGTCACCATGAAGGGCTGTTTGGAGCGAGGACCGCGGCGTCCCACCAACCCGATCCAGCCTGCAGACAGGGAGCGGTCTGAGAGAGAGAGAGAGAGAGAGAGGACACAGTGATTAGTCAGACCTTAGATAAACCGATTCATACCAACTAATGGACAAGGTGCAGCTCAGCGAAGGACCGACCCTCCTCTGTCTCCACATAGAGGCGGATGCCCAGGTTGCTGCGAGGGTGGAGGAGCCAGTGGTTGGAGGCTGAGGTGACGTCAAACGCCAGCCAGCCCTCCTGACCTGCAGGTACAGACTGCATGTCCAACAGCACCAGCTCAGGCTCCCTGACGATGAGACCGGGCATGAGGATGAAACTTTAGAAAGTCAATATTCTGGAAAAGAATAACTTTAAAACCTGGACCTGAAGCTGACCTGTGTCTGTTCTCTCGTTTGATCTCGTACACAGAGATGTGAAGTGTCCTGTTGGCTCTCTGACCCATCGTCAGGGTCTTATAGATACGAAACTCTGCTGCTGTTACCGTCTCCCCCTGAGGGAGGGGGGTCAGATCAAAACGAAACTCTTTCCAGTACGGACGAGGCTGCAGGAGGTCTCGCTCCTGCTCCACTGCAGACAAACAGATAAAGAGAGAGAGAGAGATTTATAAACATGTTACTATCAGATGAAAGTGGAACTGCAGGAATTCACAAACAAGAGCAGACTTGATGATCGTGGTGGACTTTAGAGGCCGAGCAAAACACACCAGTGAAAACTTACAGCCATCAGACTGTTTAATAAGTACTTTATTAATAAAAATGTCATTGTAGACTATGATAAAAAAAATTTAATTTAAGTTGTAAAAAAGTCATAGTATATAATGTAAAAATATGTTATAATATAGTATGATGAAAATATCATGGTAAACCATGATAAAAATTTGAAATTTTGGTATTTAAAAACGGTCATAGTATAGTTTATTAAAAATGTCTTAGTATAGTATGATGTAAATTAAGAATTTTTTTGTATAAAAAAAGTTATAGTATTGTTTCTTAAATAATTACAGTGTTGTATGAATTAAATTTCAAATTTTTATATGAAAAAAAGTCAAAGTATAGTATGATAAAAATTTCATATTTTTTTACAAAAAATGTCAGCATGGTATGTCAAAATATGTAATAGTATAGTATGTTAAAAATGTCAGTATACCAATAAAAATGTCAAATTTTTGTATTAAAAAAGTCAGAATAGTATGTTAAAAAAAATGTCATAGTATAGTATGATAAAAATGTTATATTTTTGTACGAAAAAGTGTCATAGTATAGTATGATTAAAAATGTCATAGTATAGTAAGTAAAAAAAAAAAGAAATGAGATGTAGCGTACACACACACACACACAGGTCCTAGCAAGGTGGAGCACTTTATCTTTTAGGTTTTTATCTTATTTAATGTCAACTATTTATTTGTTGTCATAGCATTTTATTTTGATGATACCTCTTGTGTGTCTTGTCATATGTGTTGCTGCTGTGACAATATGAATTTCCCCTTTGGGGGATCAATTAAGTTTGATTCTACTCTATTCTAAATGTAGGGGACAGCACATGAGGACTCTATTTAGAGGTATCAGTCTTGGTCGATTATCAGGGCTCATAATCTGCATTTGGTCCACTATCTGAACCACCTTTAAAGTTAGAGATAAACTTGGTTAATTAAAGAGTAACTGGTGAAGTTTTAACTCCTGTAAATGACTATAAGTTATGAATGATTTTCTCTCTCTCTGACATTTGATAGATTTTTCGGTTAGGCCAAGTATTTAAAAAGTAAATCATCATTCTGAGCTGAGCAGCAAAGATTGTGCTCGACTTCAGGAGGAGCATCAGTTGGACTTCAATACTGAGTCAGAGCTAATATTCACACTCTCATAACTCCATGCTGTGTTTGCAAACCTCCTGCGTCACATCCCACTCTGAACAGGACGTACCTTAAGGTGTCTTACATCAGAGTGTGTTGACTTCAGCTGTTTACAGAGGGAGATATTGTTTTAATAACTTCATCGGGAACAGACTGAATCATAATATTACTGTTAAAGCAGAAACGTGACGGACACACTCTGTCAGTGAAGTAAGTGTGTGTATTTGTGTCCTTGCAGAACCCTAAAAAGCTCTGGTAATTTGGGGTTTTGGTGCACACACACATACACACTCATACAATAAATAGAGATACTGAGGAGAGTCCTGATGGGCTGGGCGTGCTCGTATCACTACGCACACAAACACGCACACACACAGCAGTAATTAGAGACACTTAGTGCCCTGAACCGCAGCAGCTGCTCAGCACACACACCACTAATTGCAGGCCTGCCCGGTATTTTTAGAGTCTCTCCCTCCACAGCAGTATTTTCATCTCCACTCAGACCGTTGGCTTTTTTTTTTTCCTGTGTGTGTGTGTGTCAGTGGGGCCTTTAATTCTTACCAGCTGTGTCTTCCCAATTCATATACGTAGGAACACACACACACACACACACACACCCATGACTGTTTGATTGAACTTAGGTGAACTGAGAGCACACACTGATCAGATTAGTCATAGAAATACAGCTTAATAGATCAGCTGACACATGCAGGAAAGTTCATGGAAAGAGAAAATGAAAACTAACCAAATGGGCAGATTATAAATCTCCTTATTGCACACAGGTCCCATCCAAGTACAATATTAGCATGTATTCATTATTTTCAGAGGAAGTTAGAAGAGCTTGTAAGTTAAGTTTGAAGTGCTGATGAACTTTCTAGGTTTTCTAAAACTTTACAGCAAATTTAATCAGAGTTCCCAACGAATAAAAACTTCTCAAAAGAAACGGCGGCGCTCTAAGAGGGTCTGAGTCAGCTTTGTTTACTGTCTGATGGATGGACTGCAGCGCTGACTGATAAATTTCAGGGTGTATCACTTTTCCAAAACAGAACCAAATTTTGCCAAAAGGAAAACATCAATTTAGAAACGAGTTCAGCAAAGACCCAGAGCAGAGAGAGGAGTGGATGTTTCCCACGGTGAAGTGGGTTCAGATCACTCCAGACTCCAGAGCTGCAGGAGGAGGAAGGAAGCCATTCAGAGGAGGATGTTGAAGTTTTATGCCGGGACAGATAGGCATCAGACAGGCTGCAAACATTCACAGAGTCTGGGTGGCAAAGTTTTCCCTCTGATAGTTTGATTTTTACTTTTTTATTTTGTGTCTTTCTGAGTTTAAGCTCGACTGTTTTTACTGTGCAGCCTCACAGTTTAGTTGATTCAATTAAAACACGTCTTAAATCTTAAATCTTGTACTTCAGTTATTTTCATTATCAATTGGTCTGCTTTTTTAGATTATTTTGGAGGCGTTTGGTGCAAATATTGAAGTGTACAGTGTTGAAATCTCAGAGAGAGAGGACGGGGAGTCCATCACTTTAACAGCAGAGCTAAACACCCTGATTTTTGGTTTTTTAATTACTTAGACATTTCATCATTTTGTCTTTAAAAAGTTGTGAATCAGTTATAAATGTTTGTTTTGTTTCTTTAACATTTCCGACTGTCTGCGGTGATTTTCAGGTCCATCAGTAGAATATAAACCTGCAAAAGAACTGTTTGTTCGTACAGATTTTGGCGCCCCCTGTAGACAAAGCAGTACTTTATTCACTTCTCTGATTTCGTCCTGAACACGAGAACATCCTGATTCCTTCTAACGCTGAAGTTTATCTCACTCTGTGAATATTTGCAGCAGAAAAAGTCAGATTATCTGATACCTTCCCTCACAGCGGCATCAAAAGTGCATCACTGTTAAAGTCAGCCTGATAAAAAGTGATCAAACATTTCCCCACACGTCTTCTCCGTACTTCAGAGGTATAATGATGTTTTCAGGAACTCTGAGCTGTAATGAAAAACTACAGATATAGATCAGCCTCTCTGTGGGGTTGAATGTTTGTGGAAAACTGAATGTGTCATCAGGTTCACACACAAACGGCGTCATTTCATCCTCTCTCTGTTTACATTTTGTGGCCAAAACACCAAAAATCTGAACTGCTCTGTCATGATGATAAAGGTGATTTCTCTCTCTAGTGTCATGAGATAAACCTGCCGACCATTACATGAGAAAATGATAAAACCTCCATGACTGCAGGCGAACAACAAACAGGTTTATAACTCAGTTAAACACTTTGCTTCATTCCTTCCAAATGTAACCCTGTCAGCATCTCCTCTATTATTTGTGTTCCCTTTGTTAAAGAAGCATAAAAATGGATTCAGAAAAACAAACAGTTGTTAGTCTGTAGTCTAAAGTATCACACCGAGTCAAAGTCTGACACAAACCTTCTGGTAAAACTAAACTATGTTTTTTTTTAATTATTATTTATTAAAACAGATGTGACATGTGAATTAGTGAGATAAAGAGATGTTCTGTGTTGATCTGACCTGCAGCTTCCTGTTCTGAGTTTGGGGTCTTTAAGAAATGTAAATTTTTCATCTTGTATTTGCAAATTCGAGACATCTCAGCTGTTTTGCTTTGCTGTGATTGGATGAAATATTTTACATTTTTAACTGACTGTTGCTGACTAAGCTGCTGAGATCCCATTCACAAAAATGTATTTAGGAAGAGCTTCTTGTAGAAAATTATTCAAAAATAAACTTTTTTTTCAGTTATTTTGGTTTCAAATTCATCTTGACTAGAATCAAAATGAAACAGTCCACCAGGGTGAAGGACAGAACAGCCTTCAAATGTAAAAAAGGTGGGAAATACTGTAAATAAAAATCACCATGGTGAACAAGTGCAGAGTTTATACTAGCTTAGCTCAAACATTGCTTTTCTGCAGCACAAACGGTCGGACAACAACAATTACAGACAGATCGATTTTCACTCAGTTCAACTCACAACAGATGATAGTAAAGGTGCAGTGAGTCGTATTCAGCAGATTAGAACAGAAACTAAATATAATAAACATAAATATCATGTAAGAATCAAATACATGAACAGGAGATCATTTCAATCTACAATCTGACTTCTAGTTATCACTAAATATCCAATTTCTACGCACTGTACCTTTAATAATCAAAACTACCAGATCGTCTCAGACAGTCAACAGTTGACTTTCTGTTTGTCCTCTTGTCCAATCACAGCCCTGCATCCTCTGCGTCACTGCGCCTAACCTCAGATCAGCTGAAGTCCAGAACTGATTATTCATGAATTTTAGAGCGTCTGAAATCTAGAGTATCTTTGTCTATATGGAGGTGCAGTAATCGAGTATGTGTGTCCTCCCACAGTACAGAGTAATTAGTCCCTTCAAATTTCCTGTGAATGTCTGGTTGTCCTGGATAGGCTCCGCCCCCTTAGTGACCCCTAACAGGACAAGCTGTACAGAAATCTATTCAGGTCTGTTTTGAAAGTAGGAAACCGTAAATTCAGTCAGAAACAGTGACGACAGGGTGGGGATCACATGACCGAGGGTCACTGCAGCTTCTGTAAACACCAGGTCTGTGATCTCAGCGGCTCCCCTCTTATGACTTTTTGACCCTACAGGTTTTTGAGCTCCGTCTTTCTCTGAAGTTACGGTTCAACAGATCGACGTCTAAAACTCCCCACGTGTTTACCCAGAGACCACCTTCCCAGCAGCCCCCGTCCTCATGGTCCGGTTTACTCACCCAGGTTGACGAAGCTCATCACTGTGTCCGCCTCGCTGACCACCGTCCCCAGTGGAGGTGTGTGCGTGCTGAGGGTCGGCGGGGCCGCGTAGCTGACCTGCGTCAGCCTATCAGCACCTCCAAGCCTCCTCATACCAGGTCCAGTCATCATAATCTCATTCCCATCATCCTCCCCGTCAACAGACATGGCGTGGTACAGGTCCAGCATGAAGAGCGGTGCGGAGGAGGGTGGACGTAGCGGAGGGTGAGGTCTGGGTCTCCCTGGTAGACCCAGGATGGACAGGATCTCCTTCTGCATCTCCTTCTTCTCACGCCCGCTGAGCCTCCTGAAGCTGGAGTGGACCACGGCCTCCGCCTGTTGGCTCCACAAGGAGAGGAAGAGCAGGAGCAGCGGGGGCAGGAGGAGCAGGGTCCTGGAGTGGAGGTGGAGAGGCCGGTGGGGTCTGGAGGGGGAAAAAGTCTGGATGCTGCTGCAGCTTTTGTCCGTGTGCTGATGGTCCATCTTTCTGCAGAGGAGAGACAGTTTCTGAGGGACGTCTGCCGCCATGCTGTGGTCTGCTCCCACTTCTTCTTCTTCTGTTTTCAATCAGAACTTTTCTACTTCAGATAAGCAGCTGTACAGGTTTCAGTTCAGATTCCCTCCTGTGTTTTCAGAGTGAAAACCGCAGTGTTTGCAGCGTTTTCTCCTCGCTCCGCTGACTCTTCACCCTCTTGTTTCAGAGTCTCCTCGCTGGTTTCGGCCCCAAGTGTTTAGTGTAAAGCTGCCACTGGACGAGACGTGTTTACCGCCTAAAGCTGCCTCTGTTTATCTCTCCCTCCCCCTCGGTCTTCCTCTCTCCCTCATCTACCTTCCCTGATCTTGAAGAACAAGAAAAAAAATCCTCCTCACAATCTGATCCTTCTCTCCGTCTCAGTGGTGCAGCAGCAGAAACAGAGATAATAAGAGTGAGGGCATAATTACAAGCCCAGGATTTGTTTTGAATACAGACAAACAATTCCTCCACAGAAGATTGCTCCTCTCTTTGAAGTCATAAACTCGGAGGATGGAAAGCAATTTCAGTGATGAGCAGGTGCTGCTGCAGAGATTGGAGTGGAATTTGAGAGCCGTGTCATTAAGTTTCTGCTCTCCGTCCTCCTCGACCTCACAGGGGAATGAAGATCACACCTGCAGCGACTCGACCAGATACCCCCAGAGGATCTTCTGCAGCTCTGAGCTTTTATCCAGTCATCCTGGGCCGATTATTCATCCATTCACACCTGCTTTCCACCCACGCGTCTACATCTCTGGGGCTCCAGATGTCTTTCTTAATCCAATTTTTAGAAACAATAACTCCAGGAAATTGTTTCCTGATTGTAATCCTTCAGGGAGGAGAGGCTGGTCCTCCTGCAGACTCCGCTCTTGTTCCCACTCTGTTGGGACGGGAGCGTGTGTTCAGCAGTGAGAGTTGATCCTGCGTTTGAGGCTCACAGAGAGAAACAGTTGTTCATAACCAGGAGGGAGTTTCCCTCTCCTCCTCTCCACCTCTTCTTTCAAGTCTTTAAACTTCTCTCCCCCGCGTCCATCCCATCACCACCCCTCCCAGCGGTCTCTTTGGGAGACCTCATCCTTCTCTCTCTCTCTCTCTCTCCCTCGTACCTCCGCCCATCTATCTTTTCATCTGCTCATGACTGCTGCCTTTCATAGCTGCTCAACGCTTAAGTCTCAGGCGGCTCAGCGGGAAGGATGTTAAGTGGCCTGATGCCCGATTTGAAAGAAACTCAACTCACAGCAAGGATTCAAAGCTAAAAGTGGGTGTAATTCCAGTGAGAAATAAACGTTTAAGTGAGCTTTTTTAGGCCTCATGATTCTGAGCGGACTTGGTCAGCCTCCCAGTTAAAGCTGAGCTCGGACCACTTTAGGAACTTTGGAAAAAACAGCTTTAAAAGTTAGACATGAGCTTACAAACTGACACCATAAAGCATTCGTAACTTCAAAAATAAGTTTGATTTTACTTTTGTTGGTTTCAGTTTCAGGATTTCTTTTGTCCGTTCTGCAGAGGGTCAAACACATTTCTGCCATAGCTGCGGTTTGGAGACAACTACCCACAAATTTCAAAGCAGGAGAAAGTTTGCCATCACGCCACCGTTCAACAGAAACTTCTCACACTTCTACTCTAAAGTGGCAGGTGTCGGGTTAAACGGTTTAATCCGTTTTCCCATCGAGCCATTCATCGGTTTTCCAAACTTTCCCTGCAGCGGCCCTAATGCAAACACATCTGCAGCATGTGTGTGTGTGTGTGTGTGTGTGTCGAAACCCAAAAATTTCAGAGGGAAGAAATGACTCAAATATAGTAGTGAGGTTCAGCCCTGTGCCAGCTTGTGTTTGTGTACTCTGTTCTTCAAAGCAGCCTGGTACTTGTGGTGACTTTGAAAGGCATGAATAACACTGACCAAACCAAACTGACCACACTTCATTTCAGCCTGGCCGAAAGGGCGAGTCCCAAATGCCAGGAATTAACGCTTTACCCGTTTTGTTCTCTCCTCCTCTGCACGTCTCTGATTTAAGGAGGTTTTGTCAGGAGAGATATGAGCTGAGGAGTGAGGAGAGATGAAGAGGAGGAGGTGAAAGAACAAAAAGGGAGTGACATAAAAGAGCGAGTGCCCTACAAACCATAAAAAGCTGGGAGGATGAGAAATGACATTCCTGGGAGACAGAAGTGGTGGAACAGAGCGAGGACTGTCATCAGAGGAGAAGTCAGGGATGACAGATGGACGACAGGAAGGACAGGAGGATGGATTGAGAGTGGACAGAAAATAAGAGGTGTGTGTTAGTGTGTGTGTGTGTGTGTGTGTGTGTGTGTGTGTGTGTGTGTGTGTGTGTGTGTGTGTGTGTACACTACACACAGCTGCAGAGGGAGGACCAGCCTCATCATCTCCGGTGGAACCGCCAAGTAAACAGGACTAAGTTATTTCCAAAGTCTCCCTCTCTCTGTTTCATACAGACACACAAACTGAGACAGACTTTAACCTGATAAAACTTTACAGAAACACCGAGAGGAAGGAGAACACGATATTTCAGATCACCTACTTTAACCATCATCCTCTCTCTTGTACTTACGTCCTCTCTGTCCACAGAAGTAAAGATCTCTTATCTGTTCCAGGATAATTACCGAAAAATGTCTGGACACTAACTCTGAGTCTGTCAGATGAGGGACTTTGGACTCATGGACAAGCAAAAGAAAAGACATAATTACTTCTATGTAGCTCGTCCCAACCTCGGTGAACAACATCCTGATGAACACAAACCTCTTCACTGTTCCTATCTGTGCGAGTGCTAGCTTACCAGCTGGCTAACAACTACAGATTAAAAAGTTGACTTAAAATATTGATTTAAACGACATTTAACTGATTTAAGAGGGGTCCATACAGCTAAAATTAGCCCACCAGTGACTGTTGGTAGAGCTAACACAAATGTAACAGTTTATAACACCGTTAACGGTTGTAGCTAATGTTAGCGGTTAGCATAAATGCACTCACCTATTCTTGTTCGGACTGCCCTTCGGTTCAGTTCGTGCTCTTAAACTTTAATTATTCCAGACTGGTAAGAAATTACGGAAGCATATTGCATTCACTTATAAAAAATAAAAATAATTATAAATAAAATAAAGGAAACTACGACATTAGGGCCACATTAAGAAAAGAAAAAAAATTAGACCTCGGAATTACTTAGGAGAATAAACAATATCTCCTTGCTTGTGAAACCTAGTTACTGAAGTCATTTAAACAACTAACAACAGGTTAGAATAGCTATTAGCTACGACTTTATTCTCATTAGTAATTATTTTACTTTATTCTCGTAATTCCAAGGTCCAAACTTTTTTCCTTTCCTTAATGTGGCCCTAATGCTCCGTCATAGGAAACTGTGTTTAGAGTAATTTTTTATCTTTGCTGTTTTTTCAGACTATTTTTTAAAATCATTTTTCTGTATTCTGACTACTTTTTTTCTTTTTTGTACTAATATTTCCCCCCTCTTTCTGTTTTTCGGACTATTTTTTTTCATGGCGCCACCATGGAAACAGCGTTTGTGGAGAGGGGAAAGGTCTCAGGTTGTTAGAGAGCGCTCATTTTGGACATTTTTTTTTTAACAATAACGAAAGTCGATATTCCATCTGTTACAGATGAAACCCGTGTGGTTTGTGTCACAAATATCAAGTCTGAAGTTGAGCTGAATGTGGACAGTATTTTGTGGGAGGTTCCAGAGAGCTAGTTTGCCCCGCCCACGTGAAAACGCCCCAAATTATAACATTTTCCGCAAGTCCTCGACTTTCCAGGTCTGTTAAGGCCCTAAAAATAAACGATATTCACAGAGATAAATAATCGTAAAAATATAAGTTGGAGTCTCTGCTCAAAAATTCTGCGACATTAAGTTAATTTCAAAAGCGGCCAATAAACACGACACAAACACTTCAACAAATAAAAAAGTCAAAGAGGAGGAAGACAGTTTTACTGCAAGCATATTTTTAATACAAAAACAGAACAAAAAATTGTTTATAATTTTAGTTTTTTGTTTTACACAATTGACTCCTAGTAACACTCCTCGCTCCCTCCATGTTCTCATCGTCACACTGAGAGTAGCACAGCATCAAAAGGCGGAGGACAAATCCCCCTCCCCTCAGAGAGACAATAAATAAATAAAAATCACCTTAAGATGTCTTCTGCCTTACTGTAATTTCATTAGTTTCTCCATAAACTTCATCTCTTACATGGAGACAACACACGGACGACTCAGCCCCATCAACGACAGGACATTTGAAAAAAAAACAAACAAAAAAAAGCCTAGAAGAAGAGGACACCTGGGAGGGACATGAGGGAGGAGAACACCTGCTCTCATTGGTCCACTCAGCCCTGGTCTCCTGTCATTCATCATTGTAGTTCTCTCTACACATGAAGGGCAAACCCCTTTGGTCATGGTCAGGGAATTGTAGTCATTAGCAAAGGAGGAAAATGAAGAGACAAGGCTGTCGCTGGAGTCAGCGACCTAGTGAGTAATGTTACATGAAGCAGAAACAAACTTTACACACGAATAATGTCGGAGAGCGAGCGCACGTTTCCTTGGTACAAAAAAAGTCACAATGTCTTTGACCATAATACTAAAGCGCTCTCCGCTGATGGTGATATGACATGAAACTGAAAAATAAATAGATTTTCCTTTCAAGCTAGTTAACAAAAGTACAACTGGATTATAAATTAACCAGAAACATGAGAAGAAATCAAAATGACATTCGCAAATTAAAATTTTTGCATACAGTGACTCAAGTCGATGACCTCTTTCGTTTCCTGTAACATTGACACACATTGTACACTCCCCCTCGTATGTGTGTGTGTGTGTGTCTGTGCCGACTCTAAGGTGGAACTGCAGAGGAAGAGACAATTAGTGCATGCTGGTTGTCGAACATCGGGTTAGGTTACACATGTCGTCGTATATTGTCAGTAATGTGCTGTTAGTTGTGGGTGTCACCGTAAAAATAGTCCCTTCTATTGTTGGTTTGTGATTCTTGTGTGTTGGATTGTAACATGTGACAAAACCGCACCGCCCTTTACTGAAATGCACACACACGAGGCTGATCTGAACGTTCCAGCGGTCGGGAGGAGTCTGCTCTGCGGTTCGTGAGTGTGAGAGTTTGCCCTCAGCTGCAGCACCGCCATCACCGTCACCACCGATCCTCTGAGTCTGAGGTCAGCCGGTATGTGTGTGTCTGATCTGCACTGCGTTTTTTCCCGCCTCCTGAGCCGTCCCAACGCGGTTTCTGCTTCTGAAGATCTGCTGAGGTGACACTTTTCCTCGCCAACCAGTCCAGAGGAAGCGACATAGCAGTCGTTGTTGCATATTTTCTTTTTAAACTCATCCTTGAGGCATCTGGCCCACAAGCCAAAATAATTCTCTCGTTTCTTCGTCTCCTTTTTTTTTTTTTCCTGAATGTCTTTTGAGCTTTTTTTAGGTTCTGGTAGTCCTGGTGGTGGCGGGGTGGCCCACTCCCAAACCCGGCTGTGTGTTAAAATGTGTTGGTGTGTCAGTGTGGTAAAAAGAAGTGTAAAGACTTTCTCAGGAGAGTGTAACACAAAGTAAGGCAGCATCACGTCAAGTCAGTCGGTGTGTTTTTGGTTCCACGCTGGTGGGGAACTTGAAAAGACAAAGCAGGAGACAGGAAGGCAAAGTGGGGTCACTTCTTAAAGGGGAAGAGTCTGTTTTGACCCCTCAGAGTCCGGTCTGGGACTAACAGACCAGAACTTAACTCCTGTTGTGCATGTTTTCAGTCTGTTTAAGAAGCCGAGGAAAGAGTGAGAAGGACGTTCACTCCTGGTATCCGTCTCCTTCTTTCCGCTGGAGAGTGTCAGTCATAGTGCACGATTCTCCACCAGCCCTGTGGATGTGGATGAACTTCACTGTGAGGAGCTGGTGTGACAGAAGGTCCCGCTCTCTTTGAGGAGAAGCAGTCACGGTTCGTCTCCTGGTTCTCTGCGGCTGGTCTTATTTCTTGGTGGACCCTGGGGTCTTTGGACTGGGGGCTTTTTTGGAGATGGTGGGGATCTTGGAGGGTTTGGCCCCACTGCCGGGGCGTCTTGGCGTGTCTGAGGTGTCAGAGCAGACCGAGCGGGCGTCCTGGAGCTCAGAGGCATCTGAGGCATCGCTGCCGCGTCTGCTGCTGGCTCTGCTGCCCGCACGGCTGCCGGCTCGGCTGGTCGGACCGCTGGCTGTGGAACCGCCTCGCTTTGGATCTACCAGGCAGACAAACGGGAAGGAAAGGGTGAAAAAAAAAAGCAAAAACAAAATAAATCTTTCTTTTGACATCAGTTTAAATATTAATATTAGAAGTAAAAGACAAAGATCTCATCTCACCCGTCCTCGATGGTTTGCAGGTGTGCAGCGTTCCTCCGTTCTCTCCGGTCAGTGAGCCTCGACTCGAGTGGAACGTCGGTCTCTTTAGTTTGGATCCTGATGCCGCCCCCTGCAGGAGCAAACAGGGAACGTCAGCGGGCGATAACTCGCTCACGTTATGTTCACGTTCATTTCACAACTAAACAAACAACCAGCAGATCACATGACAGGGACGAAAATGGACGTACGAAAATAAAAACTCTAATGAGAGATGAAAACTAAACACAAACGACACAAACTGAGAAGATCACTCTTTAACCGCTTCAGAGAAACGACTCTATCTAACTCTAAAACTGTTTCTATCACAGGCTAATTTACTTCATAATTATCCTAATGAGCTGACTGAGAAAACAACTGTCTCTTTATCATAACAGAGCACCAACGTGAGTAAAGTCGGAATTGATTATTCTCCATCGATTCATGACTTCATTACTGTCAGTGTTTGAGTTTCATCTGAGCTTTAAGAAATGTCGTCTGAACTGTTTTTCTTAACGTTCATAAAACTCAATCGATATGAAAACGATTCACTTCCAATTTCCTCCAGATAGACTTTAAATAAATTCCCAAAAAATTTAGAGACAAATAAACTCAAATCTAAAAAACGTTCCTGATTTCAGATTTTGTTTTATCTGCTGAAATCGGCTTTGAAAGTGAAACGTGTTCCTGAATAAATTCACAACCTTGACACGTTTTCAACATCCTATCTCCTTAAATCAAAGCTGTGTGTTTGAACCTGTCGTCTCTAAGAAGTCAGCTCGATCACATCATGATCACCTTCAGATTCAAGGTCATAAAGTGGAACAACGCCATCTTTAAATCAAACAGGCAATCAAACAAGTTTTCACACAACAGCAGCTCGAGTTAATCTGTGTTTGTGTGCCAGTGGGGAGTGTGCGTTAGTGCTTCAGCAGGTTCAGTGGGGTGGGGGGTCGAGTGGAACGGGGCCGAGGTGGCAGGGTGGAAAGGGTTCGGGTGGGGTGAGTGCGTTACCTCGTGCCCAGGAGTGTTGTGGCTGTGACCGAGATCTGGGCAGCAGTGGCACTTGGTTGGCGTTGGAGTTTTACTGTGAGCCAGCCAGGGCTTGGCATAGTCGCGCGTGTGAGTGTGGGAGGACTGAAGGGAGGAAGGGAAGGGAGCAAGGAAGGATGGAAGGAATGAAGAAAGGAAGGACGGGGGGAAAGGAAAGCAAAGCAGCAAAGGAGAAAAGCAAATGGAGGAGGGGGGTTATGAAAGGGAGGGAGTGGTTGGAGGAGGGGAGGAGGAGAGCAGCGCCGTGTATTTTTGTGTCAGAGCAGATTTTTTTTTTTTTTACAGAAAACCCGACAAGTGCAGGAGGGACGGTTTGAAGCCAGGTAAGCGGGGTTTGAAGAGCAGGAATGAGGAGAGAAGACCGAAAGAAAAAGACAAAAAAAAAAAAAAAGAAAAAAAAAACAAGAACAAAAAAAAAAAAATCACAGTTTAGGATGCGGTAATTTTTGACAACAACAACAACAACAACAGGAAGGTGAAAACAACTGAACAATGATGAGAATAAAGCAATGAAAACACACAAACATTCACACACACTTTAACTTTAACATCGGCAGTGATGGTACACACAGTAATCAGACGACAAACATGGCCGACAAATAAAGAAACAACATCAGTAACATCAGGTGAGGATGAGGTAACATGAGGTCTGCTTCACTGACAACCATGAGGTGTGGAAAAACAAAGACCAGGACCTGTTTTGGTTTTGCTCTGAGTGAGTTTGTACTTTAACGCTGCTGCACTTTCATATCAAAGGTTTCCTGTTATTTTATTGTTTTATTTACATCAGTTATAAAACCTGAAACCACACACTACAGCACCCTGAAGAAACCCTTGAAAACTTAAGATCTGATCTTACCCTGGATGAAGCAGACGCCGTGGGTGTAGCGGGGGCTGACGGAGCAGAGGGGAGCGAGGCACCGCTGTGGGATGCCGAGGAGGAGGAACGGGTGGGCGAGGCGTTTCGGGACCCCGGTTTGGAGCGTCGACCTCGGGAGCGGAACGCGGCCAGACCCTGAGTCGCTCCCTCGGGAAGGATGAACTTCTCCCTCAGCTCCAGGTTGGTTCGACCGCGAGCTGAAGAGAAACACAGAGAAAAGAGGAATAATGATCCGGTCTGTTAAGAGTCAGCTTTGAGTTGTCCACCAGCAGGGGGCAGTAGAGGCAGCGAGCAGAGTGAGGGAGAGAGTCGGTGCTTCCTTGGCTGCAAACGTCAGAGTCGGAGCGTGTTTCTTTTGAGGGTGCATGTGAGCGGAGCGGGTGTCTGTGGGGGGTCAGGAGGCTGTAAGTGCACTTTGGAGGAGGTCATTTCAAGGGGAGAGGTGCGTGAGTGCGTTTGGTTCGAGTGCAAAAAGTCGGACAAGATTCATCTTTTCGATACGCAATGAAAGTCAACGAGATCTGGAGACAGATTCATCAACCAACTCCAACACACACGCTGCTATTTCAGCTGTGAGCAGGTTACTGTTAGTGTCTCTAAAGGAAGAGTGCAACATTTTGGGAGAGCTGCTCATTTATTCCTGATCAAGAACTCAAACACAGACTGATGGACGATAACTTTGTGTGAGTTCAGGGTCTGAATCTTGGAGAAAAAGTTCTTCTTCAAAAGTTTTTTAAACATTTGTGACGATAATTCTGACTAAACAGAAAGTCTCCATGGAGGCTCAGTTATCTGTTTCTAGGATTAAGTGACATGCAGCAGAGAGACTAACTTTGAGAAAAGAACTGGTGGTGGCCACGGAAAAAGTGAAAGAGGTTGTTGGTTTGTTCATCCTGAGCTCCTGTAGAAACATGGCGGACACTCTGTAGCTCTCTCTCAGATCTAACAAATTCACTTTTCCTCTTTGTAATCAGTCTCCCAAGATGTCGGGCCGCTCCTTTAGAAGACCTGCATGTGTCTCCAGAGTGACGCACTTCCATTGCGTATCTGCTCTGAGAACATCAGAGGGGAGCAAAAGCACAGCCTCTCTTCCCTCGATTTTCAATCAGCTTTTCCAGTGGATTCATTTTCACTCTTAGCTGAGGAGGAGGAGGAGCCTCTCAGCTCCGCTCCGTGTATACACACAGAGAGTGTGTGTATAAATATAGGTTGGGGTCATGCCTGGTTTATGCTAAGCAGGAGAGAACCCAGAGATTCGGGGTTTCTCCCGTCTTCAAAAGACACTCAGCGGCATTCTTAGACAGAAAGTAGTGCAGCAGCCTCAGCAGACAACAACAAGCCTGGAGAAGCCAGCCGCAGAACAGAGTGGGAAAGAGAGAGGAGGAGGAGAGAGAGAGCGTTTGGGGATGGTTTAAAAAAAACAAAAAACAATCCATAAAGAAGAAGGACAAGATGGAGAGAACATGACCGAAAAATATCAAAAATAAAAATAATAATAAATCAAAAAAAGAGTCAAAAAAGAGGAAGGAGAGGGAGGAGAAGTGGGCTGCAGCTCGCTGTAGCAGCAGTGCTGGCCTCACAGCCATCGTCCCCGGCAACCGGACAGCAAGGCCAGTCAATTAAACGGGTGCACCCTGCAATTACATCCCCCTCAGTGCCAGCCAGCCAGGTGCACCCTGTAATTGTGTCTCCCACCAACCAGCCATCACATTTAAAGGAGCCGCGTTGGAAGCTAGCGTTATTAGAAACCCAGGCTGGCCACGCCCAGGTCTTCCACACTCACTTACTGTCTCTTTACGTTTACGGTAAAAACAGTCGAGCTTTTTTGATTTTTATTTGGAGTGTTTGGACTTTACCTTCTCAAACACAAAAACAAACACCTGAAAGTTTCTTTAGAGTAAAAGAAAATACTGAGACCAGGGGTTGGCCAAATCCTGCTTTGTTGTGAGTGAGGGAAGCATGACGCAAACATGACAACACGGGCATCAATCACAGCCGTTAGAAAGGTTTCCACACACACACGCGTACGCACATACGCACACATTTATATCTGTATAACGACACACAGAAAACAGCTGTGGTTTAAGATGGAGACTGACAGCTGATGGATGGATGGAGAGTGAAAGAGATGGAGCAGAGAGAGAGGAAGGGTAGATACCTCGGCAGCAGAAATAGCCAGGAGTGACTGTCACTAAGAGACACAAGAGACAATGTGAAATAACAGCATGCTCGTGGTGGAATGAAGAGAGTCTCACACACACATATATCACCCTTTACAGACTGCACTCA